GTAACTTCACCACAGGGATGATAGCTGCAATACTGACACGAAATGGTAATACAACGGTGAGAGATATGAAAATAGTTTTTAGTCCCGAAGGAACCGAGACCATGTGGTTTCGGTAGAATCAAGTCTCCTGGCTTTGCTCGTTTTGATGTGATGCGCCAGAATAGGCCCAGCATAGTTGAAGCTTTTGATGGGCAAGTGGTCCACTCCTCAAGCTCTCGGCACAGTATGCGACCAGCAATATCATTCATTGCTGCATTGAGCACAGTGTCACTAAACTAAACACTAAAGCACAAGCACCAAAGCACAAGCACCAAAGCACAAGCACTAAAGTAGGAGTAAAACGTGTCGTAGTGGGAGAACGGGACGAGTTGCTGAGTAAGCCAGCTGACGAGTGCAACTTCGTTCAGGGACAAGAAAATCGTGCATGTCACAATGACACACCGTAATTCGCTGCTGCTCCACCACGCCACAACAATTTGATATTTCGATTTGCGCTTCCTTTTCTGCAAGTGTTCAGTGTCTCACGCTGTTCAAGCCGACAGCTAAAATACTCAATTTTCTTTCGGTACTTCTAAAGAAAGGCTGAATATTAAGTATTCTGTGTATCACGTCGAAAACATGGTTTGCAGATGATCTTTACGCTGCTAACCGGTTGCCTGTAAGTTACAGCTGTTTTTCGCGCTGTTATAAAAAGCCCCCATCAGCACAAGCTTTGCAGACATTTCAACGGGGTATGCATATTCTTGTTTGCACAGTCCATAGCCGTGCGGCTGCTCGGAATTGCTCGTATTTGCACTTACTTACGTCAAAGACGTGTTTTCATTTTCGTATCTTGCAACGCTATATATATGTATATCATGCTTCTCGTGCGGGCGATTACGCGATTGCTGTCACGAAATTACACCTCTGTAAAACTATCTCCTGAGACTCTGCTATCACACACGTAAAAAAAAAAAAACGCTTTGCCCACAAATATACACATATGCCCTCTCCGGGGTGTGCGGGGTCACCCTCTACCACAAGGGCTGTAACTTCTCGAGCGTTTTGGCAACCGCAGACTGCTCGACGGTGTCGTGGGGGACGTCAGTGTTTCTTCTTCCAAGCAGGTTCTATACGCAAGCGTCGTTGAGCGTGCATTGCTTTCGCAGAAAGTGCCTTGCAAAGCGAGCCGAACATCGCGTCGGACTACAGGCCAGCCACTTCCAGAAAGGTCGTGCCAGTGGCCCAGATATGTACGTTCTTATAACTGCACAGTAACAAGGTCGTGCCTGAAGAGGGAGCGCTTCCACCGACGTGAGCGTGTTTGTATTGTGCCGCTCATATCTCATCAGCGCGAAAAGCGCGGACGACGGCGTCGGTAGAGCGCGGCAGCTCGGCAAATGTTCTCCAAAGCGTCCATGTACCACCTCGAAGCTCCACGCGCCGGCTCCTTCGCCCTGGCTGAGAAGACGGGTGGCATTCCTGCCGGTAAAGTTCCGCTTATTTGTCGCATCTGTCCATTGATGTTAGTGACGCGATGGCCGTTACATGGTGAAATTGCTGCTTATTGCGCGCGAATAGCCTGGACAGATCATTTCGTCTCTCGACCTACAAAAGCTGTCACAGATGAAGTCGACCAAGTCTCGATCTCAAACTTCTGTCGGATGGTATAGTCTTTACTATAGAAAACAGAGTATTTCGTTCTGATACGACGCTTCTTTCTTAACTCTTTTTTTTTTTTCATCCCGCCGTGCTGGTCTGGTCGCTAAGGTACTCGGCTGCTGACCCGCAGGTCGCGGGATCGAATCACGGCTGCGGCGGCTGCATTTCCGGTGGAGGTGATAAAGTTTTAGGTCTGTGCTCAGATTTGGGTTGACGTTAAAGAACCCCTGGTAGTTGAAATCTCCGCAGAGGTCCTCTACGGTGTCTCTCATAAAACAGAGGCCGGATTTCTCTGCTTTGAAAAACCGAGTTTTCGGCGCCAAATGTATAGGCGGGCAAAACACTGTTTGGGGCTCCTAAAATCGTAAATATATAGGCACAATGAACTTTGACGAAATTCAAATTTTCGAAGAAATGCGTGTGCGATCTGTGTCTATGACAGGAAAGCAAACAAAAACGCTTTAGTTTTTCATGGTACAAATGTGCTATAATGGTTCCATATAGCCATACATATTTTTCCCGCAGGGTTCGCATAATACGGTCTCTCCATTTTTAGTCCAGTATGGTGAGCTAGGTGTCCACCATCGAATGAACACGCTCATGGGTCTCTTTTTCGGCATGGCTGAGAACGGCTACACATGCAGGTTCAAGTAGCCAGAGCGAAATTGTAGGCCAGAAGGGTCTTTTTGCCTCGTAATAACTTGTTCTAACCGCAACGGCAAAACTTTTCTTCTGTCTGTGAACACCTTAAAGGGCCCTTACGCAGGTTTGAGAATTTCGAGAAGCCAAGAAATTTAATGCACTGGGTGCTCACGATCTCAACTACAAAGATTCGCAGTGCTACGCACACCATAGTTGAAGCTGAAATGTCAGACTGAACACCACTTTACCTTCATCTCACGGGCGTGCGCCGCAACATAATGTATGTCATCTATACAACAAGGAATAGTGAAGTAGTGTACGTGACACTGCGAGAACTATTCGAGAGGACGTGTAATTTCTGCAATATGTTGCCTGAATAGAAGTATGAAGGTTGACAAGAATATTAAACATACAGACGGAATCTATGCGCGTTATTTTTTTTTCTTTAACTTCATATCGAGCGAGATGCGATACCATAAGCTGCCTTCATTTCGTTTGCGTTGATGTCGCCGTTCTCGCATCGTGCCGGTGCCAGAATTCGCAACGCTTGGCGTGTTTTTTATGGATCGTTCCTTATAGAGGAGTTCCAGCGGTGCGGTGCTGTGTGTCGTAGTAAGGATACGTGATCCATGGCAGCCTTTCCGAACGTGCACACAAAGGGATCTTTCCCATAGAAACAGGCAGTACAATAGAGACCGCCGAAACGACAGAGCACCGGCTACGTGCACGGCCTGGCATCGGCATTTCATGCGAATGTAACCTTACGCGCGAATGACGCGCTGGTGCATCCGCTCTGTGTGATCCTCCAGCTCCGAGTTGCTCCGACGCCATATAGGGCCGGGAAGGGACTTGGCTTGCTAAGCCCTCATCGAGCGAGTGGCCAAGGTTTCAAGCTTACCTCCTCGCATCATGCTTTCGCAGTTTGTAATGAACCAATTAGAAATTACAGTGATACAAAGTTTTTTCCTTGGGAACGCGTGACAACTTCCACGGTCTATATAGGTAAAATTTCTCATGTGACGTAGTGAAGCGTCATTAAAGAAGTAAATGACAAATAAAACAAAAACCACATGGCTATCGTTTTTGTGCTCATATGTCAAAATGGCATGATAGGAACAAAGAAACAAAATAGGCATTTGCCTATATTCGGTCTATATACTCATAATTCATATGGTGGTTTTGGGACGCTGAACCCACATATCAATAAACTCTTTCTTCCTTATCGTAGCCGTAAAATTATTCAGTAAATATATATCATAGCCACCTTCATTTCTATTCTCGCAGGGTGACATATGAGAAATTACTGAAGTATTATGACCTATTCCAAAGCTCTAGTCACAGTAGATAGTTTTTCGAGAAAAAAAAAAGTCGTCGGCAAAACTTCGTGGCTATATATAGATCTGAAAACATGGTATGGAGCCTTGACTTCCTTTTCCATTATGTACACTTTATCGCATGCCTCAGTATCTGCTACCGGGATCCGGGGTTGTTTTTCAATTTATATTATGTGTTTTGAACGCTTTTTTTTTCATATTCGGCAGCTGCGTCTTTGAAATTTACACGCAACGCCAAATCAGCTTTGAACAATTTCTCATATATATGTCTTCTTGCGAGTTAATCGACACCTGCTGGTTGACAAAACTTTTGGAACACTCATGCTCGCCCATGAAATATATTTTCTGCTCATGGCTCACTTCGACCGAGACCCACCCAAATTTGCTGAGCTGCAGACTCACTTGGACATCCGGAGTTACGTACGTCTTTAGGAGTTTTGAAGATATGAGCATGTAATGAATTGACACTTCGCACAATTCTTGCACACGAAAAATGACCATCAATCTAATAAATGTGAAGTTATTTAACGAGTTTTGCTAATTACTCATTTGAATGTTGCTATAGAATTCTGGCCATAGATTTACAATACGGAAATAATGACGAGTGTAGTTTCTTGCTGTTTCGTAATTGCGAACACATGTTGACCCGGTGTCTCTGTTGTGTGTACATGAGGGCATATGCATTTTTTGTACATTGGCTTGAACTTTTTTTTTTTACTTTCACGTGAAAAGATTCTTTGTATGCTGGTAGGGGCATTGGGAAAAAAAAAATCTTTGTATGCTAGTGGGGGCATTGGAATATTGTAGTGCAGCTTCCGCTTAGAGCAATCTCATATTTTCCGCTCTCGGTGGACAGTTCATGTATGTTTGCGCGCTCATTTTCTCACGACCTCCGTATACGTGCGTACGGTCGAAGGGCACCCAGTAAGCACAAGGAAGAATGACATCGTTCAACTTTTCTTATCTCACGCGCAAAACAGTACGTAGATAGTGCTTATCAATTTGTGGGCAAGCCTACTCACGCACTGACGAGTGTATATCTTCGCGGTTTGTTACCAGTGATTTTCCGCATCGTTTTCCAAATAGCAGCGAAGCCGCAAAAACATCTAGGAGACTAACTGGTTACTGCACGCCACAAAAATATTCGACACGTGGTCACACGCTTCTTATTCCTTCAATGTAGAAAAGCCTGCAAAGCTCAAATTAGAGCTCGCTCGCTCGCTCGTTGTTACACGGCTCCGATAACGGGTGCCGAAGTCGACGCCGTAATTCCGATAACACAAGTGCCAAACTGAAACCGAAACTGCATGCTCAGACATCAGCTGGCGACACCTGGCGTGTTCATTCATGAGGTTGCCGTTTACAGTAGCGTTGCAGGGGGAGGCGTCTTACAGGCTCTCTCGAGCGAAGTCGTGGTTGGCGATCGTCCACCGTTGCCTGTCACACAACTGGTGAGTACTTTCGGGCGGATATCGCGATGTGCCTGGGGCCTGTGTAAGCTGCGTCCTCCTCCGGTTCCAGGTTTCGGTTGTCAAGTCTTTAGGTGTCGTGAGCACCCAAGACGGGCTTCTGTCACCGCGACCGGCGGTTACTTTCACTTTCACGTGATTCTACCTCGCGATTCCGTGGTGACAGATTTGGCAAATCTTTTCACGCGGGCGTCGCGCGTAATCGCCGATCGACTGTGCTGTACGGTCGCTTTCCGTGGGCTTTTTTTTTTTGGCATTGCCGATGAATGAGCCCGCACGAAACATACGGCAAATGAAGTAGGACCCTGCGAGCAGTAGTCGCGTTGTAAAACGTAGTTTTCGTGGAAGCACACACCTGCATAGATACAGCTGTTCGCTGGAGGTACATTTGGTATCTATGACAGCCTTGCCCATGGGCGCGCACTCATGTATTTATTTCGAGGACGTAACTCTAACATTGCAACAATTCATTTACATGTGCTTGCACGTTTTGTTGAGAACAGCGCCTTTAACTACCGCTAATTTTATTGTGTGCGCCCCCCTGAACCCAATAACGCCACGTTAACTGGCGCAGCTCAAGGGCTTGAACTTATACACCTGTTGTTTGCTCCGAACATGCGCTTACGCGTCAGCTTCTGCTTGGACATAAATCGAATGATAAGCACTCTAGACAAGTTGGAACTTCGAGAAAAAAAAAAAACGCATCATCACTGCTTCGGGAGCACCAGCGTAGAATAGCGAAGCTCATCGAAAAATTGCGCTGAGTATCTAAAAGCTCTGTGAAAAAGCAGGGTATGGTGTAACATACATATTTATAAAGTGATTCATCAGTTTTACTAAATCCTGAACTTGTTTCGAAGGAAGTATGCTAGAGAGCTTCTTCAAGAAGCATGGTAAATGTCTCAAATCTAGTTGACCTTGGTCCAGGTTAACTGTTTGCTGCAATTGTCAGTTCAGTAGTTCGATCCCACTGCTAGTCAGTTTTTTGTGGTGCTTGGAAATTAAGCAAGACAACAATATACATACTGGAAAGTGCCTGGTATGGGACAGAGTATTTTGCACATTGTAACTGTCATTGCCAATAACATCTTGTACTGTGATCTGACAGCTGATGATTGGATCAGAGTTGTTGGTTCACTTCAAGTTTCCTAGTTTCGAGCATTGAAAAGTATTTGTGAATGGAAGAATACGCATAATATTGCATTCTTTCCCTTTAAAACTTGAGAACAATTATTATAAAGATCCTCACATACAATTGCTCCATTGTGCATCATTTCTGTAGATGCAACCTGCTAGCCTTACATTAAATCCAGTGTTCTGCATATTTTCTATTGCTCACTGTATTTGGGCTAGAGGTGTAGTAAAAAAGTTTGCTAGAAATCCCGTTTTTCTCAACATGCCATTATCAGTTGCCACGATTATCTGCCGAAGAAATCGTCACAATGTGTCTCAGGCTGACTAAATGCACAAATGCATTCAGAATGTTCTTTGGCTATTTATAGCGTTACATTGATGTAGAACATTCACTTTGTTAAAAGAATGCCTGCAGATATGCCAGTGCACTCTGACCCACATTACAGCTATTGTTACGCACTAGGCTGCATGTGCAAACACATGGGGACAGAAATGACCAATGCATGGGATAAGTTTGTAGCTGAATATATCTTGCAAAGCAGCAGCCATGTGAATGTGGGGTTGACCTGCTTGGAACAATAAAGGGGAATGCTGGGCCAGTTGGTAAAACATAATGTGGAAATATATGAGCACACGAGGGTACCAGGAAAAGCACTTGACAGGAAAGACGCTCGCTTGTAACTGAACTTTTGCAACTGAACTGAACTTGAGCTGCGGAAAAGTGTACATCGGCCAGACGGGTCAATGTTCAAATGATTGACTCCGAGAACATGCGACATCCTTGAAGGTTCTTGCAGGTGGCACGCACTTGTCAATGCGCTGCAGGGATTGTGGATGCAATCCGCAGTTTGGCAGCACTACAATATTGGTCAAATCAAAACACAAACTGACCAGAGAAATCATGGAAGCAGAACAGATTAGGGTGAATGCAAGCGCGTGTATCAGTGTTTCTTTGGTAGCAATAAGTGAAAAAGAGGTGTCTTTTTTGAGCTGTTGAAGTAGATAAACGTATACCTCCTTTTTGGGGGGAGAGGGAAGGGGGCTGGAACCTTGAAGTGATAGTTGGTTGCGCCTGTGCGTTTGTGTTCTCCTGCAATGAATGTTTTCTAATAAAAGTTCAGTTGTAAGTGAGCGTCTTTCCTGTCAAGTGCTTTTCCTGCTACCTTGTGCACTCATATATTTCCACATTCTGCTTGGAACAAGCTTAAAAGGGTCTTGAAACTCATTTTCCACTTATCTGAAAATGTTGATCTGTAGTCGAGGCTTCTGAGAACACAAGAATCAAGTATAATAGCACAGCATGGGGCCTGGAACTCACAATTACCCCTCATTCAAATATCATTCCCTCTTCTCTCTACAGCTGATGCTATATACCCAAACGTTTGTGCCGTGTATCCAGATAGGGACCATTGGCTGATTTGAATGTCGTGAATTGAATAGACAATGCAGCTGCCACATGCCCACGCACTCGCTCGCAATCACATTGAAAGTAAGCCTTGTGTTAAAAAAAATTCTTAAGGTCATGACATGCGCATGACTATTTTCCTTCGTGCCACCTCTTCTTGCCATTTGCAGATCAAGCCAGTCATTCTAGCGGGGTGGTTTTTTTGAACTAAATCTGGAGAAGGAGGGGGAGTGTCCTGTCTCTTGTTTTCACTAGTTCCTGTCATAGCATAAATACCATTCATTTGAGCTCGTAGTGCATCCTTACGTTTTCCTTAATGTCGGCGTTGACCTGCTAGGAAATTATCTGGCAAACACGTGGTTGCTTATGATGACCTAGTTTGTCTTCCTTTTGTTAGCGTTCAGGGGGCTCTTATCTTTTCATTGATACCATACTTATGTGACATACTTGTGAGCACACAAAAAAAGCTATTGTAGGTTGCAGTTTATGGGAACTACACGTGCTTCTGGTGCAATTAGCATGCTATGACTCAATGACAAAAATATGAATGAAATTGTAGTAAAAAAATGGGCAATAAGTGGTGTTCCAACAATTTATTACGAAAAAAAGCATGACAAAAAGTGTAAACAATTGATGACCGCAAGGGTGTTTCCTTGCTTGGCTTTTTTCTTTTTTTCTAGGCTGTTTTTTCGTTATGGATGAATGCACACAAACTTGCGAGGTCTCAGTTCAGATTGTTATGCATTGTCGTGAATACATTTTGTCAATAAAATCGGTTTACAGTTGGACTAAGGTTGCACGGCGGGCTTGTTGGTTACTCATGTTGTTCGAGGTATAGCGCATCCAGAACGGGACAGAGAAGAAAACACAGAACACATACACGGCGCATTGTTGAAAGTTAGCGCCGTGTATGTCTTCTGTGTTTTCTTCTCTGTCCCGTCCTGGATGCACTATACCTCGAACAACATGAATTACAGTTGGAGTTCCAGAATGCCTAGAAATTGGCTAATTATGACAGCTCATTGTTACAGGTGTCATGGCTTTGAGAAGGTACATAGTATGTATGCTTTTTTGTGTTTTTCAAGATAAGGAAAATCAAAATTTTAAAGACTGGACGTAAGTGCCTCACTTTAACTCTATTTGAGAACATGCTCAGTGTCCAGTTTTCTTCAAAAACTTGTCAATAATGCTGATGTGTAGTCTAAAAAAGTAAGCAATCGTAGTAGATCCCATACTTTAGATTTGAGATAATTAAGAAAGAACAGCTAACTTGTCAGCTATGCTGCCGGAGTAGAATTAGAGAAATCTCACGATGCCACATGAATCTGTTACGAGGGATGAGGCCGCTGTTAGCAGATTGAAGTAGGCGTTAAAGAACCCTGAGCGGCCGAATTAATCTTGAGTTTAGCGCTGCGGCATTCCTCATTATCATAGTGTTTTAGAACACATAAAACACTAGAATCTATATTAGTTTCACATGCTTGTTTCATATCGCAGGTGTGGTCAGTAGCTTATGTTTCTACAAATATGTTACCAAATGTTAGAGTTCCTAAACAGTGTGAACATTTTAGTCTGCACAAAACAAGTAAAGCAAGGCATGTTTCTCATCAGTTTCCATTGAAGTCATTGCTATAGGATTGGTCACATGGTGGAGTAATGATCTTGCTACAGTCATGCTACTACAGTAATCTTACTATACAGTCAAACCTTATTGAAATCCTGTATTAGTCACTTTCCTGGCTCACACTCAAAACTGCCAGTCTTTAGTTTGCATGTGTTTGTACATGTTAGCTTCCTGTTCTTCTTTCTCATTATTGAATTCCGCAAGTGTGAAAGTAGACCTTCAGTGCCACGTTGGCAGCTCTGGCACCTACTTTGACTGCTACCGGTTGTTGGTGAAAATGCAGTGCTGAATTGAACATCTAGTACACTGTAGTCGGTCTCCACTGTTCGTTGCAACACAAGCGAACGTGACGTAGATAGAGGCGCACATACTTGCTCCAAACATTTTCACAGATGCTGTTGTAGCCTTTGATGGCTTGCCCATTTTACTTCTATATGTGTGGCCTCACAATTTGGGAAAAAAGAAAATAAACAGCGAATGCTAAAAAAAACGAGGCATTTACATTCAACATTTGCCCATGCACCAGAACAAATAGCAGGCTTTGTAGCAGGTGATGAAAAGTTGAACAGGGATCGTTGTTGAAGCCAGCATTTTGGCAAGTGGAGATTTGTTCATAGGGAAGCAGCTGTCCTTCTTAGCAGTCCAAGCTTGAAAACGTAGAGGAGGAAAGAGGGAAAAAATGTGTGTGCAAAGGAGGTCACGTACTGTGTCATGTGCTTTCTCTTCTCATTTACCTCTTTTGAGGTTTTGTGAAAGTAAGGCGTGCACGTGCATACTGCTAAGAAGGCCAGCTGCTGCCCTAATGAAAGAATGTCCACCTGCATGAACATTACCTTCAGCTGTTCAACGATTTTTTATCACTTCGAGTCCCCGTTTTCTCACAGTTTTCTGTTAAGCCTAATTGGGATCATGCACAACTGCCACTCGTACCCTTATTTGCTTCTGAAATTAATCCAAGAAAGGGCGTGCTCTAACCAAGCTAAAATCACAACCATTTAGTGTTTTCACTAGCACATTGGCTTCTAATGAAACTTAAAAAAATGTTTGTGAGGCACTGTCTGCTGCTGCTAGCACTACTGGACGCATTTAATTCGATCATTTTTTCTCACGATCTCCCAAGCATGAACTGTTCTGCCTCCAATTGTATAATATTCTGTACTTACCTGGACAAATCACATGTGCAAAGGACAAATATAGCACTAATATAGATGGATTTCAAGTGCTATATAAGATAGGCAGGGGAATTTCATTGTCTAAAAGAGATTGTTTTTACAGCAAGGCGAGAGCTGTCTTCTTCATGAAGTACATACAACAGCCTTGAAATCTCTTTTCTTGCTTTGTTATGACACTCAGATGAACCATCGCATTTTAGGCTCTCAGCAATGATCTCGCTGTTTTTTTTGTTTTTGTTTCACATCAGAGTTGCTACACCAGTGTTCTAGTTTTTTCTCTTATACAACTTGGTTTTTTTTCTCAAGGGTGGTCTAATGAAGAAAATATATTTTAGTGTTGAAAAATTGAAAACTACTAGTTTGTTCATAGTCATCATAGCTGCAGAAGCTGCTACATATAATCATCTCTTCTTCTATGCCTGCTTAAACATGTCATGTACGTGGCATGTTTGGGAACTTCAGAAGGGCCAGTTTACTTTAGTGTTCTTGCATATGCACAATCTGTTGCAGTCGCAAGGAGCGGCGGCAGGTCACCGATCATGGCTGACTCGGGGAACTCTTTCTTTTCCGCCCTTATTCGGAGGAAAAGGATTGGGGCCGATGCTGCCGAGGCTTCGCAGCTCAACAGGTGTCTCTCCACATTTGACCTGACCCTGCTTGGTAAGTGTTTCAAGTTGTTTTGCTTCTGTTTTCAACACTGGTGGAGATGTGGGTCTTGAGTGCTTTTTTTTTTTAATTGTAGGGTGAATGGAATGAAATTTAATACTGATTGTTTTTTTTTTTTGTAGATTGCAAATCACTGAGCAATTTATAACAGCGGCATTACAGCAAGATATCCAATATCCGCAACATTTTTTTAGAATATTTCTTACGGTGATCCTTCGCAATTTTACTTGGTCAAGCACAAGAACAAAAAGGTCGCATGATTGCCACAAAGCTGGTATAGTCGATGATGCTATTTATTATCCTATACAACAATACATTAAATTAGGTATAATTCTCAACAATCATAAATAGTATGTGGCAGGATATGTTTACTCATATTTACGTTAATTGTATTGCAGTAGAGGTTTGTTCAAAACAATCGAATTAGCATCACTGGCTAGATCAGCTCTTTTAAATGTCTTACCACGTACTTTGTTGTGGTTGACTAAGCAAAGTTGCCAAAAAGCACCGTAATCTATGCACTTTCAGAAATTGCATATCTTTTGTTCCAATGCAGATAATAAAAATCTACTTGCATATTTGCAGTCTGCAGAAAACTGAATGTGGATTAAATATCATTCGGTTAACCCAAGTTAGACTTTCCTTCTTATGACTCGAATCTCCTGTGAAAAGGTGAGACACAAATCAGGGTGGTTGAAACAAGCACGAAATTAATGTCAGATGTGATAGATGAGGCCACATGAGCTGTTCTTGTCCTGTGGCCTCCTATCTCGCTCTATTTTATGCTCATTCTTTTAGTCTTGGATTGACTCACCCAGAAGATTATTCTGAGGGACTAATTGTCATTTTCTCAGCCTGTTCTGGCTCTGCTGACTGTCATAATATTGTGGCACAAGTTGTAACACCGAAAACAATGTAGTTATAGTTTTATATGAAGGGAGAAATTTTCTTTTGCTTTGAGTATGGCAACACACAGACTGTTTTCGACATCGGTAGTGATGTTTCTTAGTGTGTCAGACTGCATTAGTTCTGCATTCTGACAAGGTTGGTGTGTCAGACGAGACGTAACAATCTTATTGTTGTAGTTAGGCACACACTTTCATGGGCTAAAAGATGTAAAAATGGTTGTTGTTTTTTTAATGACACTGTTAGAAACTATGAAGAACCATGGGGCTGTCTGAGTAATGCTTTTGATGTGTAGAGTATTACTTGTTTTGGAGTTGCTAGAAAACTGATGGCACTTAGAAGAAAACACTAGAGAAGCACTTACTTCAAACTAAAGTTTATGGTCGAAGAATCTATGCTTGATTATAAATTCATTGATATTCCAGAAAATGCATCATGCAAAAACACCTCATCTTGCCTCCACGAACAAAAATGTATCGAAGAATGCAAATTTGTAACAAAAGGGCATATCTCTGAAAGCTTGAGATTAGATGAACACGTGATCGTACTGGTACCTTAGTCGTGATCACAAAGTATGTCAGATAGGAAGTAATTGGCAAAAAATATTTCCAACTATAAAAGTGTCACTGTACCCGCATCTCGATCTTTTGTCCTGTAGTGTTTTCTCAAGTCAGGGCCTCTTCACTCTCAAGTGTGCAACAGTGTAAAATTGATCTTGGAGGTAAGGTATGATATTGAAGCACGATGTGTGTATCCCTCGAGAAGTGGGGGAAGGGGTGGGAGCAGTGATCGACGACCAACTGTTGGAGTGCATAGGTGTACTCCACGACATTATTAGTGACAGAGCCCACTCGCCGTGCAAGAGCAACATACATTCCGCAGTTCAACAACCAAAGGAAGTTGCGAGTACAAAAAGGATATCAATGAAAAAGAAAAGTGCACTCTTGCTTTCTGTTAATCTCATTCCTGATACTAGTTGCATTGTTCTGTTCCTGTTGCATTGATTTTCTTTGATGTGCTTTTAACAGTGGCAAACGAGGTATTGGTTGGCATTCCATGTCTGTGTTACCTCTTTTTATTTCATTTTTTTCTGTACTGTTTTGTTGGTCTCTTCGAGAGATGGTTCTTTTGTTATCCCTTTCCCAATCTTCTTGCACCATCACAAGCAGAGGAGGGGGGACAAAAGGCCAGGCCGTTGTCCACTCACACAAACACTTATGCAAAATGTGTGTTTGTGTTGGACATTCTATGCCATGGGTCTTCAGCAGAAGGAGAGCAATCATTGGCATAACAATGACTTTTATTTGTTACAATATTTTGCATTCAACTGATTAGGAACTTCAAATTTGAAAGGGTCGCTTGAAATTCATGAAATGGCAAAAATCAAACTGTAAGTATTGTTGATTATCAAGTGTTCTATGCTTCATTGGAAAGCTTGCATTCTTTTTTTAAAGGATTAAACGTACTATTTTGGCTATAAGCCAATTTTGGAATGTACTTCGTTTGAATTTTTTAAGACATTGTTATCAATACCCTAAATTAAGTATAGCCTGATGCTGCTTTTATTTTTCGCTCAATATATCTTTTGGAACCCCAGTGCGTGGTGTGCTCAGAATTGTCTATGTAAATAAAGGTTAAGAGTAAGAATTGAGCATTGACATTCATATATTTGGCAGGTATTCATGCACAGTATACTTGGGCAGCTAGAACAGACATTGTAATTAATCTTTTCACTCGTTTGCATTTGATGATGCAGATAAGTGTTGGAAAATTCAATGCCTTCACATAGCTATGCGAACATGAGTGACTACACTAACGTCAAAGAATGTGGAAGTATGTGACCGTGCTTCGAACCCTTTTCGATGTTTTACATGTCTCATTTGCCACTGTCTCGGAATCTACTGAAAATTGTTCACCACACATGTGGTTCAAGTCCATTTCTTCTAGAAAGGAATCACTTAGTTGGAAGTCCATGAGACCTTTAATTTATGTTGATATTGGGCATGCTTTTTGCAGCGCCACTGTTCTGGTAAAAAGAAAATGCACTCTTGTTTTATTGGCCAGTGTTTGAAAAATTCGTATCAACCAGTGGGATGTTGAGACAAGCCATGAGAACACTGCCACACAGACCTTTGTTGAGCTCCCCTGCGCAGCTTCAGTTCCTAATGTTTTTATCTAGAAGTGGGCTCTTTGATGTTTCCAGCTTGAATTGCTTTTGGTGCATGTAGACAGTAAAAGCTTAACCTTAACGATCCATTTCTGCTATCTTGAGAAAGCAGCAACTTCAGCAAGGATTTGGATACTGCCTGGTGATTTGTCAAGAAGCTGTGATCATATAAAAAAAATTCAGTAGCAATTTGGTGGTAAATGTGAGAGACACGTTAACATTACCCTTAATTACATCCAGTTATATACTTCAATTTACTTTCCCTGCCATGGTACTCAAGCACATGAAGGGTCAGGCCATGGGTTCATTTCTCAGCTGCAGAGGCCACATGTCTGGGGAAGCAAAGTACAAGGTCACTCAGGCTTAGGTGCACATTAAAGAAATGCAGGTCATCAGGTTAACCCAAAGTTCCTTTCTACGGTGTGCTTGATAATCAATCATGGTTCCAGTACTTGTAATCTGATAATTTAATGTATGTTCAGTCTTCAATGGCTTCTATAGCTAACATTCGTAGGTGGTTCCAGCTGAATGTCGATTAAGTTGATTCTGAGACAGTGGCAAACGAGACATTTGGTCTTGCACAAGCTTGTATAAACTTTGTCCACTTCACTTTAAATTGTGTGCTTTTTGTCTTGTTCATGCAGGGGTCGGGGGCACCCTGGGCTTGGGCATCTATGTCCTGGCTGGACAAGTGGCCAGCACTAAAGCAGGGCCTGCTGTCGTCCTCTCATTCCTTGTCGCCGCCATCGCCTCTGTATTCTCAGGTGAGCACTAATTCCCAGCTGCCAAGGAGAGATACCCGGCCCCCACCTGCATTAGTGTGCTGTATTTTCATGTAGTGTATCTCATTCATTTCAATATTCGGGCTCGTGTGGCAGGAAGTCTTGTAGGTTTGATGTATCTGAACGCTAAGGCCATTGTTACTAGCCTGCCACAGTGGCCTAGAGGCTGTAGCAGTATGATGCCAGGTCTCAAATCTAGCTCCCAGGCAAAGCATTTGCATTCTCGATTAAAAAGCTGCACTACAGTTACTTTCGAAATACAAAGTTAGGAAGGAGACACGAAACGAAGTGGACAAAAGCTAACTAGCCAGTACCTCACTTTGCTCACATTTGCTTTCCGAAATAGAAAAAGTGCAACGCTCTCTACATAGTTCAATTCAGGGAGGCATTAAAGTACCATGTATGGTCAATATTGTCGAGTGGCTTTCAAATATCCAGCACAATGTAGTAATGCAGCACCCATGTTGGGATGATGATGATGACACCAGACTACTTGTTCTGGAAGGATCCGTCCCGTACGATTTTAATGTACTATATACAGCTGACTAAAGAACGCAAAAAGGTCCATGGGGGCAGTCCAGGTCTTTGGATGGAAAGGCTGCAAGAACCACAAGATCTGATAGGTAACTCTGAAAAAAAAAAGAAAGTGTAGTGAATGAAGAACATGGCTGAAGGACACTGGGGCTAAAAGCAAGTACTTTGTGTGAACTTGGTTGGCTTGATTGGAAGGGTACTGACTATTGAGCGACGCTAGTGGGCACCCTATAGTTTGTGTGTGAGCCATGGTGTAGGGTATGTGAGCTGGCTGATGAGGCATGGGGAAACAACAGGGGATGACAGCTAAAGTACACCACACGCACACTGACCTGGACCTTCACGTTTGCGCATTGCTGATGAAGTATAGTGTGGACAATGGCGACAGCTTAGCTGGGGATGCTGGTGGTGCATCACTGTCATTACAACACTGACTTGTGTGACGAATGGTGTCAAGGGCACAAGCGGGGCCGGTACAGTGTAAACAACGACCTGGTTAGCTGTTAGTTGTGCACTGCAACTTCTTGTGATAATTTCTGCCTGTTGAAACAGTGCCAATCACAGTGGATGGTGATAGGACAGTGTACGTTATAAGTTGAGCGAGTTGGACTGAGTGCTGCTACTCGGAATTTTATATATACTTGCACGTAGAGCAAAGCACGGCCAACGCAAGCTGCAGGACAAGTGCTCCCTCCATTTTCCTCTGCCGTTCCTGAAAAGCACTCTTATTTCCCTCTAGCTCTGCACCACGATCGTGCACTGCAACTACGCAACATTGGCCTGCTTGAATACCATTCACTCCTACCTAGCTAAGTGCGTGCATGTGAAATTAGTTTTCGAAATTCGTTTTTCACCCCACTAGCTAATTTCAACACCAATGATGAATTACAGGGTCATGCGAGCATAAGCGTGGCCTTCGACATCTGTCTTCTAAGATGACAGTCGGGGAAAAAGTGAGGCCTCCAGGATGTTTTGCTTGGAGCTGTTGCATTTGCTCACCATTCGAGGTGCTTCCATGCCTTGCTTCCCACGGTCAGATTGTGTTGCCATTCTCTTGTTTGTGAGCTGTTAATGTGGGCTATGCCATGAAAGGAGGGAGAATGCTTCTGGTTTACATGCAGTTTCTTTTCGATGGGAATGCTTTGCTGTTAATCTTGAATTTCTGTGCTGTTTTGGAAAAGCGCCATCTTTACTTGGCGGCTTGGCCGGCAATTTTAACTTGCTGAAGATTGTGCTTGCTTGGGGTTTGATGTTACTTTATGACGCATAATACTTTCTCAATGCTTTCTGTGAGACATCTTCTAGCTATTGAAAAGAGAAGTCATCAGTAGAGTAACCACCCCAAAAATTTACATTCCACGTTGCAGGCCTATGTTATGCAGAATTCGGATCTCGCGTTCCTCGGGCGGGATCTGCATACGTGTACAGTTACGTTACGGTAGGGGAGTTCATGGCATTCGTCATTGGTTGGAATCTCATCCTGGAGTACATAATTGGTGAGTTTCCTCATCATTCCTGCCTGTTTTCTGTTCTCATAAATGTTCCTGGCACTTCTTCATTTACCGAATGTTTCTGTTCTTTTGTGTGAGCTGTAGCATTGGCTCCTATCAACTTTGTGGTGTAGTGTTTGCAATATGTGTGCATAGAATGCATGGAAGCACGTAGCAGTGCAACGTTTATGAAGGGGAAGATAAAAAAGGTGAGAAAATCCGATTCTTCAAAACTGTTTGTTTTTATGCCACTGTGAAGACTTTTCTTTGCAGACACTGTCATAAATATTCATTGTTTTTTCGAACTGGGCTACGCGTGTGCATTTGTCACAGTGAGTAGCTAAGTTCCCGGGGTGGGTAATCTGTTCACAATCTGTTTCGAACAGGGGCACATGCATCCCCCTGCTCGAAAAAACAATTGTGAAGCAGATAAAAACAGGGAGAGAGTAGTGTACGAATCTGCTGTCATGACATCTCCGGGTTCCGAAACATGCGTCAGTGAGCGATCGATAAAGCTCTCCCGCTGAAATTGATTTCCAGATAGATGATAAATAGGTGGGGTCAAGTGTACTAATCTTTCTTCAACCTGCTTTTGTGAATTTTGATTGTCGCCTACACATTAATAAAGAAAACCAGTTGAAATTTGCGCTGTATCCCCTGTTTGTAATGTCTTTCATACCATCTCCCTACTGTAAGCTTATCTCCAAGCCAACATGAACCAACTAGCCTCCTTTGTCTAATTCTGGGAGCATTAAGAAAGGCTAATGCTGTCTGAACAGATGTTGCTTTCCTTCTGGCACAGTTGAAGTGTCCACTCAGAAGGCAAGCATAGTGAGCAAATGAGAAGGCTGTGTGAACGAGGTCAAATCACGATGTTGTGCTCCACCCTAAAACTTGCATATCGCTTCAGCATGGAAGACCCCTTAATTTAAATTTGCATGGAGATTGAACTGATAGCCCCGAGGCCATTGCAGTGTTTAAAGGAGTCTTCACTTAGGGGCATTGGCCATTGTTTCTTTGTGGATGACAGGTACGGCATCGGTGGCGAGAGGCTACAGTGGATACCTGGACAGCCTGGTGAACCACACCATTGAGGAGCACATGCGAAAGTGGATGCCCATCGGTGTCAGCTGGCTCTCCTCGTACCCGGACCTGTGCGCTCTGGCCATCACCCTGTTTCTGGCTGGCAAGTGGAATTGCATTGCCCCTCTATGTTAATTAGTAACTGTGGCTAAACCACCTAAATCATTACTAATCTCGCATAACTTAAGCTTAACAATCAATGAAAGATAATTCTAAATGCTTGTTAAACCTTAAAGTTGTGATGAAAACCAGCAAATAATGAAGTAAAAGAACAGATAGATGTGAATTGTGCTGTTTAAGAGGTCACAAGACTTTCGTATTGCGAATAGTGGCCTGAAAAATCTATTTTTTTGAAAATCGCATCTTCAGATTGTTGCCGCTCTGTCAGATTCGAAAATATATTCACTGAAAACTGCCTAGTAGGGCTTTAAAACAATTGTTGTGCCTGCGTAGGTGGTAAAATTGACTCAAACCACAAAAAACCTAATTTTCGAAAAATGCATAGCTTCGCAACTGCACGAACAGTCACCGCCATTTTGGGTTTGTCGGAAAGATAATTTATCAGCGTTCTAATTCCCGCCACATCTGGCTCCTTCCTTCTAGAACAAGTACACAAAAAGCTAATGTCTGAAGGTCGTCTCGCGGCCTCCAATTGGCTGCGTCCGCCAAGTCCCTACAGCATGCCTCTCCATTGGCCGAACCAGGAGAATGTAGTCTGCTGCTCGTGCCTTTGCGCGTCCTGAAGTCGCGCCTTTTGAAAACTGCGCTATTTAGTGATGGGGGCACACTCTTTGTGTGCACTGATAGATGCTTATTCAAAATTGTGCTGTATTTCAGACTGCGACTAGTGGAAGAGAAATTAATCACGAGGGTATGTGCAATAGCACTGTGTTCTTTGCAAACATCTGACCCACAGTATAGGTTCTACTTATGAGCATTTCAGACTTCCTGACCAAGAACATCGTGGAACCACTGTTTGTGCTCGCAGTCGCACTGTTTTTTATACGTAGGGCATCGTGGCTGAGCTTTCTGCTGAGTTGCGGCTAGGCCTAGCTAGTTCCACTCACGGTGGCAATACGAGACTACCGTATTTACTCGATTCTACCGCGCCCTCGATTGTAACGCGCACCCGATTTCCACCGCGAAAAAAAAAAAAACATAAGACATCGATTGCAACGCGCACCCATTTTTCTCGCTGGCCCGCACGATCGCATCACTCGAAAAAACGACTCCTTTCGGGAGTGTCTTCCAATTAAATATGAGGCACGGGCGAAGCTTGTGCCCATCTGACGTGTAACAGAGCATTACCGTCACTGTAGTTTTACCGTGGACCGATGTCAGCACGCGAACTTGCTTCGCCCCCTTCTTCTCGACGGTTGTGGTGCCAGGCATGTCGAATTAAGAGGCGTCTGATCGGCATTCCTGATTTGTCCAAGCAGGTAGCCGTTGTTGGGCTGCAAGTTTAGGACGAACCTCTGAAAACTGTGAAGCTTTTCATCGTACTCCTCCGCAAAACTTTTCGCATATGCATGTTCCCCTTCGGAGGGAAAAGCCTTTCCTCTTCATAAAGTTAGTTAGCCAGCACCTGCTCGCTTTAAACTGGCTCCGCTTTAGACCTTTTTCTAAGACTAATTGCATAGCCCGCACTTGGAGCAGTTCTGTCGTCATGGGCCAGCTGTGCCGCTCGCTTCTCAAGCACATACTCGCCGAGCAGCTCTTTAATTTGCGGAAACCGACCCTGCTGTAGTCCACTGAAGCCTTTGCGTGAAGCTTTGCTGTGGACAATCTTCTGCGTTTGTTTCCGCCGGTCCCGCACGCACGTTTCGGGAACTCCGAACGACCGCGATGCGGCCCGATTTCCGTCCGTTTCTGCACACGCGATGACTTTTCTTTTAAAAGCGGCATCGTGGTGCACTCGAGTTTTTGGAGTCGGCCCTTCCACGCCGTCGATGCTAATGCACTACTAGATGACAAATTCCTCAGCACATGTACGAAGTGCTGCACATGGGAAACACATAGGCAGAAACGGCCAACGCGCCATGCCGACGCACGTAGGGGGCGGCCATTTTGGATTTGCCGATGGCAATAGATTGACCGTCATTTTTTTGTTCGTACTCGATTCTAACGCGCATGCGATTTATGAATTCGCTTAACCGGAAAAAAGGTGCACGTTAGATTCGAGTAATTACGGTATTGCAAACTTTTTGGGCCACAGAATCGCGCTAGCAAACAAGCTGCAAGGTGCTTTGCCACAAGCAATCAGTCTAATCACCAACTGGAGTAATACTCCAAGACTTTGACAGTGACGGGCTCATAAAATTTATAAATTAAAAAAAGTGTGCTACAAATGAAAAATCTAAGAATGCTATTCCCTCAATAAGACATCTTGGAATCGAAGGGCCAAATGTTATGAAGACTACACGGTAGGGCCCACACGGCAAATGGAAAGAGGCAGGAAAGGAGGTTCGTTGCAAGCAAAGATAAAACTTTCGTAAAGTCGAAGTAATGCGCTACGAAATTAGAGGAAAATGTTTATATTTAGTTTTCATGCGACATTATTGCAATTCCTAAATGTAGATTTCAATGCTTTTTGTGCTGCACATTCTTTGCGAACTTAACATCAAGGTTGCTGAAGGACAGACACAAAGTCTTGGACATGTTCATTGGTTAGTCGGGAGGCGTTCATGAGTTGATTACAAGGGGAAGTGCGAAGTCCTGCTGAGAACCGCATTGCAGTGCCCAGCAGGCCGCAGGTTGTCGAGCCCTGCTCTAAACGATTTGTCGTGTTCCTTTATTCTGAGCCAGGTTCTGCGCTTTCAAATGTTTTGCCATGAAGTGGTGCTCCCAACTTTTGACTGCTGCTTGTGAATCCATCTCGGTGCAGTGTTGCTGGCAGGCGGGGTAAAAGAATCTACGAAGTTTAACAATGCCTTCACGGCCATCAATTTGTTGGTGGTGATCTACGTGGTCATCGTGGGCTCTTTCAAGGCAGACATTGCAAACTGGCAGTTGAAACCAAAGGACGTGAGTTGCTCTTGGCTGTCTCCTGTGATAAGTCATAAACATGGCTTGCAGCAAGCCATTACTCTAAGTTGTGTAAAGTTCATAATAATGAAGTGTTAAACATTGTGAACTAGGGAGAATTAGTCATTAAATACGTATGTGCATCTATTTTGTTTTTAACCAGGTCACTGATTCATAATAAACCTCAATGCTTTTTTTTTTTTTGAAGGCTATATAAACAGAATTGATCGACAGTTTGAGGAGCGTATTGTGTGCCATCTGCGACGGCCATTCCTTTCTTCTGCATATATGTTGGTGGTCCAAGCTGAAGCACTGACCACTTGTAATTTTTTTGCCATTGTTATGATTGTGAGCATTCCTGGCAAAAAATTTGTTGTCACATAGTTGTAATGGTGTAGACATCAGCAGTGAATGTGTCCAAAATTGAACAGTTTTATTGGGCCGAACCTCTGCCTGGTGAAGAGAGTAACACTCGTGGTACCACAGCTGGCATGCACATTGATCTTTAAGTAAAGCGATGTGGGGATCCAAGTGTCTGCCATTTATGTGAGTGGCAGCCGCTCTGTATATTTGCTGTAGCTTGGTTGTATTGCCGCACCATACATATCATGAAAGCAATCTGATTAGAACACATTCCAGAAAGTTTTGACAGTTGTGATGCAACCACCGCCGACCAGGCGCAGCTTCTGCCTTCAGGTAATGTGTGCAGCAGTTAGCCAGTGCAACCCGGGGACAGTGAATAAAAAGGGTGCATGTTTTTGTCATGTGAATAGGACTCTTCACTGAACTTTATCTGGCTTGCGTTATAGAATATTACTGCTGCTCAACATCCTTAAAGTGTTACTGAGAACAACATGGGCTCGTACAATTGCCATAGCAGTCCTACAGTATAGCTTTTCCTGGTTAGAAAATTTCACACTTTCTCCTTCAAAGCCTCATTCTTATTTTTGTTGCTCTGACGGTGTAATCATATCAACTTTATGATGCTAGTTGCTGACATGTTCCATAGAGAACCACTGGGTATTGAAGGGAACAGGACTAGTTACTTGGAACTTGAGCTGAAAGAGCCCTTTTTCTTTCAACATTAACATGCAGTCGAAATAAGTACAATGCATGTAATGCTATGAGGTAGGTGTAAAATATTGCTTGCCCATGTTGCTTTCCTCGTGCAGGTTCCCAGTGGCCATGGAAAGGGAGGCTTCTTTCCGTATGGAATTGGTGGTGTACTCAATGGCGCTGCCTCCTGTTTCTATGGCTTTGTTGGTTTCGATGTAATTGCCACAATGGGTAAGCACTAACTTTGTATGATCTGCTTTCAGGGCTATTTTGAGACCTAATTTGATGTTGATTTTTTATGAAATCGTTTGGCACTGGCAGAACCCACATAGCAATGATGTATTTTTTCAGAAGCCTCAGTTATATGCCGCAATTTTCTCTTGAGCTCACATCTTACAATAAATATCATATGTTGTCCGAGAAAAAAAGTTTTCTTAAATTTAATGCCGCAATATTCGTGGGTGCGAAATAAAAACTTGCGTTTCCCTAGGTTGACCATTATAAAAGTGGAGATACTGTATGCTTTCTTGAAATGAAAAATTTTCCTGGCAGTTGCTGTGCTATTGTGATATTCTGCACTTTAAGATTGTTTCTGGATGCCCTTCAATAGTGTGTGTATTCAGGGTCGTTACCTAGACAAGCTGTATGCATACAGAGCAGCTTCAGGTGGTCAGAAAACTTGTCTTCAAGATCCAGGTGTTTTCATGTTTTCAGTCCATAAATGTGTATCCTCATTGACATACAGCTGGAGAGGCCCTCCCTTTGTTTGTGGCACGGTCACAGACCTTGAGCACATCAAAGAACGTTACACAGCTACTTTCACCGTGCGAAATAACCTTCCCTTGACGCCCGCATTCATGATAACAGCACATCACTAATTGTAGTTTAGAAACCTCTTCACTACGGTGCGTGCTCTTATGAAATGTGCTCAGTTGCCATTATGTGATAGTGATCACACTGTATACGATTCCTCTGATCGATGGCTGTTGCCAACATGGTTCCTGGTGCAGTTCCACGTGCAGGCAATTTTTTTACTCTATCAAGCAAAATTTTTGTTGAATTATTTTTTTCAAAAATGAAGATTTCAACCTTCAACTAGATGCTTAGCTGCCATTTTGTATAATAATTTAATCTATCTTCCTTTGAAAAGCACAGGTCATGCCGTGGGCGAAAGATTGAGCGTCACTGTGTATTTTATTGGTTCTTGGGTTTTATAATGCCTGAATTATCCAAAGCTGTCAAGTGGTTTTTTATAAAGTTGTAGGATAAATGTTCACTGTTGTTGTTGGCATGATGCGTATAAAGTAACGTACCACATTAGCTACAGGACAGGCTCAGTGGGATGTCCACATCAAACGTTTTAGTATTGAGAAACTCCAGTCTCTTGTTATATTTCCGTGGACTGCTCTTTTAATATAAAAATGTTCAGGACAAGACAGTGCTTATGAATTGTTTCCTGCGATTAGTGGTGTGGCACGAATGAAAAATAAATATTGCAGAGGAATGGAATGGTTTCCTCTAAATTGTGAACCGCAGTAGCTGAAGTGATTGGTGTGTAGTTGTTAAACAGCAAAACAGTTGACAGAATGAGAACAAATACAGAATGGCACGGACAATGTGACATCAGGAGCACTGGATCTGTGATAGAGCTGTGGGTTCAGCTATTCACGGTTGATTTCTGTATATACTGCTTTATTTCAGGCGAGGAAGTTCGAAATCCACGGCGTGCCATTCCTGTCAGCATAGTCGTCTCGCTCGGTGTCGTCTTCCTGGCGTACTTTGGAGTCTCCATCATAGAGACGCTCCTCTGGCCATATTACGCACAGAACGTGTCCGCACCATTGCCATTCGTTTTCCAGCAGGTGTGCGAAACATGGTGGCTTTGCGCTCTATTTTTCGTGCTTTTTTTTTTCTTTGGATCGGCATTAAAACATTTTCATAATTTTGAAAACAAGAGAAAATCCAAGGAGGATCCACGAAGTGAAACTGTGTGTGCCTTGCAGGTTGGCTGGTCAGTGGCCAAGTGGATCATCACCATTGGGGCTCTGGCTGGGCTGTCCACAAGGTAAAAACTGCAGAAAGCAGCTGTGTTTTCTCTCATTGGGGGTGCTTTCTGTCATTCGTGCATATTGTAAATCTCTCTCAAAAAAAAAAAAAAAAATAGAGGGAAATTTTTTTGATTTTGTGGCAAGAAGAAACTCAAAACTAAGGCAGTTCATTTCCGCAGGATATCTATCAAAATAAAGTTATAGCCTCATACATTTTATCATTTTCACTCGTTTTATTTACTCTAAATCTGAATGGCAGTGTGGCATGTTTGTGTCATGCACATACCACTGCACTAGGCCTTGTGCAGTACTGAGCAATTATCTGAAAGTGCTTATTAGCAGGGTTAAGAGATTTAGCCGCACTGGCGTGTTTGTTGCCTGCCGCCATCACTTCTCCATGCATTTCTGGCGCTTAATCGAACAGATATGTCGCACGACGACTTGACGACTTGAGTTCAGGTTTTTTATATGCTTCACTGCATCACATGGAATTGAGGCAAAGCTGCCTTTTAGGCTCTGCTACTGCTGCAAATGCATTGACTACGAAAGCACTGGTTTGAATGGATGTGGCAGATATAGGGGCTTTAATTGATGTCGTTTTGGACAATCTGGCATGAAATTTAAGGAAATTGGACATGGAAGATTTTCATCGTTCAAAATTTCAGGTGTTGGAATCGAAGGGCCAAATGTTATGACGTCTAAGGTGCAGATTAGAAGCTCTGGACTCAAAAACAGTGCACCTTTGTCAGTCACGTGAGTTAGGCTTCCAGAAAAGTTGGAGGAGGATAGATTGAGGAAATACCATCGTTTCTTTTATGTCTGAAGAGTTGACTCCACATTGGTGTCTTCAAATTAAGTAGAATCCGGCAAGTTTGGCCTTGCCATTCTCTTATTCCTGATAAGACAACCAAAGAACCTCAGCACCTCCAGTACTCCACCAACCTAGACAAAAGAAACTGTCATGATGCTATCTCATAAAAATCTTCTGCAACTTTTTTGTTATTTTGTTTGGAATATTTAAAGAATATTCAAGAAATATCCTAGAAATGTTAGGTTTCATTCCTCCTTAAGCTTTAATACTGATTAACTTTGCACTCAAAATGTTTCTATTATCACAACTCTTCTGTAGACACCTAGTAGCACAAAATGCATTAGAATTCACTAAATAGTGCTGTTGTAGGAGCATTATGGCTCGCTTGATATATTACACTGTGATTAGACTAATTTCATCAGTCTAATCATGGTCTGGTTAGTTCATTGTGTGCTTTAGATTTGTAATCGCTGCATAATGGCTCATCTGTATTGGTTTCACGAACAACTCAAGCAAAGTGTTATCTTTCGCACATTTCTTTTCATCAGTGCCTCAAGTTTCTTTCGTGTTGAGAAGTAGTTGTCATGGTTTCAGGGAGACCACCTGTCAGGTACAGGAAGTGCCGAAAAATGACAAATGTGCGCATACTGTAGTTGCTCGGCTGAGTGTAAGGCACAACAGTGGTAGGAGAGTACTTTATGCGTGGGTGGCACAGAGCTGCGTAAGCGATACGCAGAACGCGTGGATGACTACTGGTAATCCATGTGTGCTTATAGACAGTTGCAGTGAATTTTGGTAATTTGATAGTCATAATTTTTTTCTTTGTACACGACGAAACCAAACATGCTGTAATGGCTTTGTCATCGACACAAATTGAGACGGTAAAGTAGCATTGAGCAGAATGCATTTTATACATAATCGAACACGAGTAGAATGTGCAATCTCTTTTCAGTCAGTTTCAGAAGCAGTGTTTAGCCCTTTAATTTTATTTCGCTGATCTGCAGTCTGAAGTGCGACTCCCTCAAAACAGAGCTGATCGTCAAAGCAAACGCCGCATGGCAGTGCATTGGACTCGTTTGGGTTCGAGTTCTTGTTGGTATATTGCATGTGGGCATTATTGGTCGTATGTAGGTTGCCGAAAAAGAAAAAAAAAAAAAACTCCAGGCCTGTGCTAAGCATATAGCACAGTCGCAACAAAAGCTAGAGAAACTGTTTTTCGAGGGTCCTGGTAAACTCCGTTGGCGCAAGTGCTACAAGACAGTTGCAAAGTAGCCCCTACATGGTAAATTGTCGTGCTTCTTTGAAGTAGGTAAGCACCCCTGTCCCCTTAACTAGTCATTCTGCGTGGAATGAGGTATCAACTATGCATCTGTAAGGAATCGTGTGCATTTTGTTGATGCAGTGGCTGATGACTTAGAATTATGGCTAAGCATTGTGTAATCTATGCACTTATTGCACAAATAGCACTGCGTGATGCTTGGTTATTTTGGTTCTTTACCACGCTCTCTTGCAGCTGTTAATGCAATTCCTTGACGACATGTCTGTATAGCATCATTCTGCTGGGTCTTTGAAGCACCAGCGTGGCTGCATTATCCCCATTATAGAATGCTAGACTATCCCGCAGAGGGTGTTGGTTCAAATCGTCCGGGATATCTTCTTCTGATCATGTGAGATGGCAGTTATGCACACTGGTGGCGGCAGATAACTACGCCACCGAAATTGGCCGCTGCGATTTCGTAACTGCTCTTGTTGTAAAACTGTGCACTTGTCGTTGCGATGTTCGCTAACCACCTTGGCCCAATCTCGCAGCCTTCTGGGCGGCATGTTCCCTCTGCCACGTGTCCTCTATGCCATGGGTACGGATGGGCTCATTTTTCGATTCCTGGCCATCGTGCACCCTGGTCGCAAGACTCCCATGATCGCCACCGCTGTGTCGGGCATCTTTGCTGGTCAGTGTGGCAACTCAAAATATCGCCTCGCTATTGAAAAGGGGGTGGGAATGAAAACGGTGATTTTCTTCAAAGCCGCACATTCGTTGCATTGTTGAAAAAGTTAAGAGCCTTATGTGTTACATAGGAATCAATACCAGCTGCACGTATTTGGAAGTAATTAGAGCTTTTTCGCCCTTCGAGGTTGAAGGTTGAAAAAAAAGCTTATTTGTTGTTCTATCCAAATGATTACCATGAATTTGTATCATTGAGTGGAAGATTTGAAATTTGCAAACATACTTATTCCAAATCTCATTCAGGAAGGCAGTGACAAGCCTATTCGTTTTAATTAGGTAATTTATCACATGCCTATAGTAACTTGGAATGCAAAAAGTGTTTTTGAAACTCTGTGGTTCTTATTACAGGTCCACTCCACAGGGCTAAACTAGATGTCAAAACAGCTATTTCCTTTGAAAATATTTTTTAAACTTGGAAAGTAAAAATGAGCTTACAGTAATTAGCTGGCATTTATGAAATAATTTACATCAAGGTTGAGGAAAAAAAAGCCTCTGGTTTAAGTGCCGTGCAAAAAAAAATACCAACTTTGTTTGAATATGTTCACAAAAACTTTCTCAAAGCTTCTATAAGGCAGATTTTCTTCACAAAAGTAAGTAAAAAAAATTGTTTCAAGTTTTAAAAACAATTGTGAATGAATCAATTGAAGATGCTAGAAAAATGCGTGGTACTTCGCCATAAAACATTTTTCCAGAGCCTAATTTGGACTACAAATACCTGGAATTGCAATTTCCGAAAGTCAACACTTTTCAGATTTTTTTTTGCAATTTTAACTCTCTTCCTCCCCTAAGCCTTCTGCGATGCATCTGTGCAGCTAGTTTTTTTTTGCTGTTATGCCATGTCTCATTAATATTTAATTTACCAGAGCAAAAAATCTCCTGAAGAGCCATGTTCGAGATTGTACGTTGTTACAGGTGTGATGGCGATGATGTTCAATGTGGAGGAGCTGGCCAACATGATGTCCATCGGAACTCTTCTTGCCTACAGCTTGGTGGCAGTCTCTGTGCTCATGCTAAGGTAACTAGCATTGAGCAATGTTTCAAAGCACAGAACTTGTGTGGCATTTGGTCTGCCTTCATTGTCTGGTATATCAAATCAACAAAAATAAAATGGCGTGCAACATTTGAAGCGGCAATGTTGGCTAGTTGGTTGCATTTACTTTGCAGACCACTTATAACATAATCGCTTATAGTGCAGAACAGGTTACCATGCGGTCTTTTTCGATTTCTGTTTACCCTCTTAGAAGCCCATGTATACGCGTACCACTTATTGTGCAGTGCTCAGAGATGAAAGATTGTTTATAATGTAAATTATAAAGAAAATCTTTGTAACTATTAAGAAAATCTGTGCGAAAAATGCAGTAGTGAGTGTGCATTGGAAAAGAGGCTTGCTGCGGAGTAAAGTTAACCTATGAGACAGAGAGAAAAAAGAAAACAAAACCTAAAATCCTGCCATCTCCACGAAGTGAATGATGAGTAGGACGAAGCTGCAGTGCTGATAGATTAGGTTTGTGCGAATATTGAAATGCTTCGAATATTTTACGGAATAGTAGAGTATTCGTATTAGCTTCGATTTGGGTTTCAATTATTGAAACTTTTGAAGTGTTTTCAATGAAAGAATAAGTGTAAATTAGTCTGCATGTAACCTCTTGTAAAGGTGGTTTTACTGCAGTGTAGGGGTGCTAGGCTGTGAAAGCACTTCTTTAAAAAAAATTTTGTTTTGTTGCGAAGTTCTACTTCAAATTTAAAGGGGCACTGCAACACTTTTGAGAATTGTCAGAAAACACTGCGGACCGGTAGTCGAGTCTACTGAATATACGAGGCCCAAATATTATAGCGCAGCACGAGGCCTGCAATCCACAATGAAATCAGAAAAGTCTGCTAAAAATTGCACTCTTCTCTTGGCAAATGACTTCACAAGCTCAAAAAGCACTCGTCCCAGCCATTGTATTGGCCATTGGCTGATTTGAGTATCACTCATGGTTGTTACTGGGGCCGCCGTGAGAGGCCTCGGCTTGTCCATATGTACGTGCGTGATTGCACTGAAATGCTGCGTATTAAAAATAAAAGGGAAAAAAATGCTCAAGTTCATGAGACACGTGACGCATTTTCTTCCCCATTCCATCCCTCTCTGCTTAGCTTCTAGTGCTTTTGTCAGGACTAGAAGAAAATGCAAATGCAGTGTGCGACAAATCTTTGTAACTCCGCTCATACTAGATGCTTTGAAAATTTTTGCAGCAATGAATTCATGAGGCAATAGACTTTTTTATCGAATCCATTCAATAGGTACTTGAAAATGTTTCACAGCCCCTTTTAATGAACATATTACCCTCAAATAAATTCATCACTTTTTTAAGCTGAAAAGCTTGTTATGCCAGCCTATATGCTTCAAGTTTAAAAGATTTTAAAATGTTGCGCTTTTTACAGGTTATCACATGCATCTCACTGAAAGTCTAATCCTGTTACTGCTCAGTTATTTAGACTTCCTTTGAATGGAATAAAAAAGAATTTGCTTAGAGGACTTATTTTATTTAAAAAATATTTGCAGTAGTGAAGTGATAAATATGCCTACTTTTCTTTATAAATCATATATACTATTGCAATTAGATTCGAAATTATTCGACCGAAAATCGCCTTTCGCTTTGAACCTAAAATTGACTACTCACACAGGCCTATGATCAATGAAAGAGTGAAACATTCACCCTTACATCATATACTAAGCACGTTGCTATACAGGTGATTCTATATACCTTTACATACATGTTTATTATTTGCATATCAATACAGTTATATGTACACAAGATGTAATCATTTACGTATCGATGAAATGAAATGTAGAGTTTGCTTGGGACAGGTCATGGCAAACAGAGGCGATGATGATGAGGTTGTCAAACTGCAAGTAGTCGCATATCTCGCAGCTTTGGCCGAACAAGCGACGAAAGAAGTCGCACTTGAAGCACGCGTCGGCGCCGCCAACTGCAGGTAGCGACCACTTTCGGTTCTTGACTGCCGTTTTCTGCGCAGCATCAGATTCGAGGTTCTCTTATTGCCACCTGCGTGGTGCCTCAGCTTTGCGGGCTCTCGCTTCAGGATCCGGTTGTCAACAGGCCACTTTCCTTCGGCTGCGTGAGCAGTCGCTCCTGTCGCCATCTCCGTATTGATGCTGGTGCTGGCTTGCAATTGCTGCCAATGCTGGTCTTTCTTCAGTCTTGCGAGATACCACCGCGAGGTCTTGCCGGAAGGTCTGCATTTAGTTAGGCTGTGAGCTCTCGGTGCCGCTTTCTCCGCTTCGAAGGTGTTCATGATGATTAGCTGCGTGGCGATGTGCACTCACTAAGCTTCTGGGGTTTACAAATGAGACACAGTAAAACGGCTCTCACTCCCCTTGAGAACTAGTGGTCACGGCATGCCAAAAGACTTGCCCTGAGCAAGAGAAGCTTCACCCCTAAAAAAGAGGGCAGAGGCTTAGCTGCGTGGGCTAGGCCTTTGTCACTTTTGTACTGGTGCCGGCGTGGCTAGTGTACTAGCGTAGCTCCGGCCGCAAGCGGCTCAACATAAGACTTGCGATCTCAACCTTATCAACTGCGCTTAATTTCTTGTCGGAAAGAACGTCGTTGTTATCGAGCTTGCTACCGATATCGTATTTGGTGCCCCGTTTGCAAGTTTAAAACTGCTACGGTGTTATGGCGCGAGCTTTCACCTTTGCCGCCAGTGCGTGGCCGTACATGAGCTTGGTAAGCTTTCGTTGCCCTCGATCTTCCGGCTACTAACACAAACTTCATATCATGCATGCTGTTCTTTGTTCAGTGGCGTATTTTTGATACCCAATCTTTATGTCTTGTACAAGCTTCCCACGACAGCATGCCAAATGACAAGCTAGGCCTAATCAGCATTGGCTGCATTGTGGTAGTTGCTGCATGTAATCTGAGCTGCGGTTTCGTACGGAATCTATCAAACTCTGCGTTGGCTGTACCTGAAGAGAAGGGGTACATATCGTTAATGAAAACGAGGGTGGCTCGTGTAGCACTCGAATTGTTATGGTTTGTGATTTAATTGCAATATCTTGAAATCAAGTGCGTGCCAGGGAAGTCGAACGATAGGTGTCTTTCAGCGTGTGAAATTTTGGATGTCATTCGTCACATTTTCCTCGTAATGCTCACAATCGCAGCTTTCTGAGAAGTAGTCAGCGAATTTCTGTGATGGTGCTTTCTTTTGTTAGACCCCTCTTCTCCCCCTTCACGTTCATTTCATTGGCATTGGGAATATTTTGACGTTAAACTTTTTTAACATCCGGAAATTTAAATGGTTGTAAGCACCATGCATCGCATGGCCAGATTCCGACATGCGAGAATGCATGCTCAACATTTTTTACGCAACTGCGGCTCTTGAAAAAGCTGTTTTGGTTATAATGCGGTACCGCTTATAGTGTGGATATTTGAAACTCCTGTGACTTGTGTTGTAAGCAGCCTATACTGTACATCGATGGCCAACTACCTTCGGCATGGATAAAGGTAGCAAGGAACATTGCAAGGATAAAAAATTTGCTTGCTTTTTAAATAACTAATGATCGGGGCAAGATTACCACATGTGTGCCTGATGATTTATGCGGGAAAGCTTGTGTTGTATAAACCCTCAAATTGGTTTGCTTTTTTACCTCTGATGATGCATTGTGGTATATATTTGACCATTCAAGACTAATCTGATTTATGTGCCTGCACTTTTGTCTGCACCCATGGAACTGAATGTTGCCCCTTGAAAAAGAACCACTGTGGTAATTTTGTGACACCACACTATGGATTTTTACATCGTTAAATTGAAGTGTTAGAAAGGATACCTTTAAACATACTGCAAGCTGCTGTAAAAATAGGACCCAGAGTTCACAAAACAGAGCCAGGAAGTGCTAAGGTATGACAAGACTTTACACCTGCCATAGCTCACTGGCTAAAGCGATTCCCTGCTAAAATAACTTGCTGTTGGGCTTGGTTGCGACACACTGTGTAATTAATAGCATTTCATTAAGTTCAACACTCGGTCGTGGATTTGATCCTGGCCTCCATGGTGGCACTTCAATGAGGTTTAAATACTCTTGCACTTAGATTGGAATGCATCTTAAAGAACCCAAGGTTGTCAAAGTTTATTGGGTTCCCTCAGGATCATATTTTGGTTCTGGCATGCAGAACATTGTAACTTCTTTTTTTCTCACCCATTTAGAGATTTTCTTTTTTTGTTTTCTGAGCTATTATAAACCACCTGACTCGACAATGTTTCGATCTTTGAGTTGGTTATCACGTGCACTAATTTGCAGCAAACTGACATTGGTGTTACAACTGCTCTTGGAAAGCGTTCATAGGAAAAAGTTTGTACCCAGCAATGCAGAATACAAGGCTGTCGCTAATGTTTCCAGCATTCCTTGCTGATATGGCTAGTAGCCAGTTTGTCATGTAGTTGTCAATCTAATGTTGGGAGATCAAGGGACACTAAAGAGCAAAGACGGGGACGTGGTTTAGATTGACACTCACTCTGAGAACTCTAATGCCACGTGTTTAACCATCGTAAATTCATTATCAGTGGAGGAAACCAAGGTTGAAGTTTAATTTCTGAATTTTGGGCCAAAATCTCTGCACGGGATGTCAAAATTTTCTAAATTTATTTTTCGTATATTTATTGGCTCGATGAAATTTTTGGAAACCTTGTATGCTAGGTTTATGGCACCCACAGATGGCAATGTACTTCATTTTTGTCGATCAGAAGCTGAGTGACCCTATAGACACCTTCAAAGGTTTATTACATCACTGGGTTCGGTGCGGGAATCTGAAGGTGGAGTCTCTACCAGCATTTTATTTTCACACATTTTCTCGGTTGCCATGTGTCGCGTCGCATTAAGAGTGGCACTTAAGAGATTGTGAAGCTGTACTTTACTGGCGTCTCTCATAATCATATGGTGGTTTTGGGACGTTAATCCCCACATATCAATCAGTCATCATGAAGCTGCACTTTACTGATCACTGAAAAATGTTGTTTGCTTTCTAGGATTCATTTAAAATATGTGTGCATGTTCACGGCAATGTGTTTGTTTGTTCCCTTTGCTAGTCATTATAGTAATGTGTTTCGTGATTGTGTCTGTAATGCAAATGCCATTATTTTAAGGGGAGATGCAGCTTGAAAAACGAGTTTTCTTAATCAATTTTTTTCACCTGTTTTGATAAGATTAGTTATCTACTCTACTGTACTGAAAAAAAAGAAACCTGTTGAGGCCCAACTGGAAATGCTTTAAAGTTGCATCTAAAGAGCACAAGGTAGCTGTTTAAAGGCTGAAAGTGCAGTCTTCAAGCACCTTGCCACTGGTAATGCACTGCCGCTCACTATTGTCGATCACATGAGGCAAAAAGCAGAGCCACACTCTTCAAATAACGACAGTTTCTCATGCTGCTGCAGCGCAAGAAGTAATAAAAAAAAAAAACACACTTCTGCGCCCATTTTTCTAGCACTGCGACTGGCTTTTAAATCGCGCGTTATAGATCGCAGACCGCCATTCGCATCTGTGCGCCTGTATATGCTGTGAAGTCTACTTGCAGGGTCCGTGTCTCGTTGAGCAACGCAGCTGAAGAGCGTATTTTTTGAGTGCGTATCTTCATCATGAAAGAAGAAAGCCGCATGTCGTATCATAGCTATGCTGTCAACGTGAAAGCTGTTGCGGCAGCGTGCTCCGTAGGAATGGGCTACAAGCAGCTGGTCAGATTTGCGGCAGTTCTTGGTTGCAAAAGCCAATGCATGAAGTCATTCACAGCCGTCAGCTGCAAAGTCTGATTCAGCAATGGATGCTTTGTCATGCTGGAGAATTAAAAAAATGCAACTTGCAAGAAAACAACTTATATATTCGAAATCAGCATAAAACTCTCAAACAGCTCAAGTTTCATCGCTCTGCAGTGAATAATAAAAAAAGTGTCTTCGAGTGGCATCTCCCCTTAATCTGGCCCCTTGCCCTTTGACATTAACCCTCAAACCAAAAGTTAATCTATTTTGTTTTATTTATTCTTTTACCTGCACTCTTGCAGTACTTCACTTCACGGAACTTCTATCTAAGCATGCACCCTTGTTGAGAAGAGATTTCACTCCTATTCAATAGTTATAAAATGCTTATTAAAAAAAGTATTATCAATGCTAACTAAAGCAACAATGAAATGTGGTGTCTTAAATTTTCGTCCACTTATAAAACCAGCATTGTATTGCTCTCTGGCAATGACGGGCGATGTCTCTTCAGTTTAATTAATTTGTTCACTACTATTAGAATTTGTGCTCGCTTTCTCCGAATTTTTTCTTGCTTTCCCTGGCATCTGTGACTCTAGGTTTTTCTAAGAAATGAGTGACTTTGTTTCTGATTGATGGCCCCTTCAAGTAGAGTTGCAGAAAAAAAAAGGAAAACTCTTTGCAGCTTCCATGAGGGTGCCTGCTGTTTTTTTTTCCTTTCTGTACCGTTGTTGGTTCTTTTTTTCTCACTGTGGGTACCTTGCTTGCTCTGGATGCCCTCCAGATACGAACCTCTGAACCCCCAATCCATCGCCTCTCCTGAACCATCCCTTTCAGTGTCCATCTCCAATAGGAGACGAATGTAAGTGCCCGCCTGTGCCTTCCTGCACTCCTTCTTGCATGCTAACATTTCCCACCATCTTCTCTTCTCTGTGATTGCTTGCTGGCACCTTGCATAGGTGCATGCTTGTTGTTACTGGCTTCCCCTGCACATTTTCAGTAGCCACAGTTTTTTTGTGGCTGCTACCTCGTACTACACTCGAACCTCGATATAATGAACCTGGATATAACAAAATATCGGCTACAACGAAGTAAATAAAAAATAGACCTGCAATAGATATAGTGTTTGGAATAAACATTATAACAAATTTTCCGACATAACTTACTTTCGTGCATCATTCAACTTTGTTAAAATGAGGTTTGAGTGTAATGATTGCTCCAGTGTGACAGCAACGAGCACTTGCATAACTGAGAGAAAATATTATGCCTGATGTTTTATGAAGCAAGCTCGCTACGACAGCAGTTGCCTGAAATTCCTCCGGCCCTTCCCAGCCATACAGTTCAAATATTCAGTGATTGCAGCACAAAGGAACATAGTTTACATTGAATACAGTTAAGTAATACTAATTACAGTGAGATGATAATGCAGGTACAAAGATTACTGAAGTGTTGGCAGCGATAGCACTAAACTTGTCCAGGACACTCAAAAGCCATGTTGGGATGGAGGAAAGGTTGCCAAATCACATATCACTTACATCGATGTACATGTTTCGCAAGTGCTCCTCTGCTGTGCCTTGCAGAGTTCCTGGTGTCATTTGTCCTTCAGACTAGTGCTAGGCATTTAGAATGTTTGCCGTGCCAGCTTCTATGGATAAAGGCAGCTGGTCTGTTATAATATCAAAATCTCGTCAACTAATGTGCAGTTTCACGTCCTAAGCTTGATATCATCGTGGCACCTTTAATGTTTTTTTCCAACTATATCAACAAAATTCTGCTGTACTTACAGAGTGGGGCAGCTTTCCTTGTGATCTGTTTAATTTATTCTAGTTTAATCATCCCATAGTCTAGTGTTTTTATGTTAAGAAAAGAAGGCACCTTAGTTGTTTCAAACTTGATTATTTAGTGCATTGAACTCTGAGATTTAGCACTATCTTTATGGCAGATTTTTTTGCAGCTTGAGAAAGACATCTGGTGTGTTGCATTGTAGTTCATATAACCCTTTTCCAGTTGCTCTGTAGCCTCTTCTGATCATTTGTAGCTGCCACAATGGAGAATTTTTTCGTAAATATTCAACGTTCTATTGGGCTGTGTATGTGGAATGTTGCTTTTGTATGTTCTTGCCACGTCCAAGTAACAGAAGCTGGCTGCATGAGAATAAAACAATCTGGTTTTCATAACCACCTCTCATCTTGCATCATCAATAAGCATTCCAACATGCGTCATAGAACCATGCACTAGAAATTTGACAGTAGGGAGACTGCAATGTGCAACCTGAGGTGTGGGCAATACCTTCAAAGCAATAAGTTATTACAACAGGCATTCAAGTGAGCTTAGCTGCTGTGCGAAACTTTGTGAGGAGCAGGTTGGCATCATGGCATCACTCGTCAATAATGTCCGGGAGATGCTGTGTCAAATGCATGCTACTGATAGTGCTGTACAGAAGGGCAATTTCATTTCTTGTTAGCTAAGTCAAGAGGATAGAGGCATGTGAGATAGTTTACAGTTGGTCCACTCATTCAGTTGCCAGCTGTAGTTACATTGTGATGGAGGTTATATAAACAGGACACCTAGTGTCGATTGATAAATATGCACAAGGAACACCGAATAAATCAGTCTTCCTCATTGACAGCCCTCGTAACACATTAATCTCTGAGGTTGTAAACACATATTGCCATTTGGTCGGTTGCCCTTGACTTTTCGATGGCCATGCTCAATATGCTGACTCTACCACACTGCCGACACCCAGGTATGACGTTACACGTCCATCCGATGGCGACGCCGATGCACCAGACTCCATGCCGCCCGATGACCAGAAGCGACGAAGTGTTATGACAATGCTCTTTAACCTGGACAAACTCGCAAGCCCTACGAATGCCACGTCTTTAATTGTCAAAAGTTTCACCCTGTGCATAGGTAAGTGAAACATTTTAGTGCAGTGGGGCCCTACGTTATTGCAACGACCAAGTAATAGTGGTTCCATAATTTTAAATGATTGCTCTGTAGAGTCTTTTTGGCCTCTCTATGTATCAGCAGCGTCGTAGATTGTCAGTGGCAACTCGTATGTGTCCTGCATGCGAACATGGAAGAACAATTGTTTTTAACTGAGCTTATGTGTACAGATAGTAGTATACAATAAGAACAGTAAGGGAACATTCATGCTAACAGCACCGTTAGGCAAGAGCAATTAAACATGATATTCATAATCCTACACGATAGCTTCCATGCTCTTTGTTCTGATGACGAATAACTTGTCAGATAAGCTTTGGTATAATCATTCCTTACTGATTATCATTCAATCAGTCCACCAAATTTTTTGTCTATTGATTGTGTCTATGCTACTAAGCACAGCCCTTCAGGTGCTCGTTCTTACTGTGGATGCATGTGATGAATTGTGTAATAGGAGTTGAAACTAAGGAACAAACACACTGCTGGCATTACCGAGCTCACGTTCAAAGCAACCAGTCCAACTTCAAAGTATGTGTTTCTTAAATTTTTGTTAGTTGGTTTAGGCATACCACGTCATTCATTTCCCAATCCAACATATATTCATTGAAAGTTCACCTTTTAGCAGAGACTATTTTGCACAAAGTTCTGCACAAAACCTTAGTGGGCATTTGTTGTCGTTGATTTCCTGGCCGCAAACGCAAACTTTGTATCACGAGTGCAACGTTACCAGAGGTATCGGATAGCTTAGCTGCCTCTCTGAAGTTTCGTGCAGGTTTCACCGAAGTGCGCTGGTTGTGTTACGGCATATTGAAAGGATGGTGGACATTTGCTTTCGAATATTGAAATTCATAAAGGCTCTGTTTGTGCTCTTCTTTTTTCGACAGGGGGCCTGTTCATGGCCGTGACGGCACTACTGGTGTTCGCCGAGGCGGATGTGCTGGCCCTTCGTGCATCTGTTGTGGCACCCCTCGCAGTGCTGTCGCTGGCGGCCCTCTTTTGCATCGCCTGTATCTTGAGGCAACCCAGGGCAAGCACAGAAAACCTTGCATTCGCAGTGAGTCGCATTACATCCTCTTTCCTTGCGCACTGAATGTGCTACTTTGTGCATTTGTTTTCCAGTGTTTTAGAAGCAGGGGAAACGAGTGCAGCATTGTAACTTTTGAAGCCTACAGAAAAAAAATTTTGAAAAGTATTCAACCTGGTCTAGCACTGTTAGCATGCTGCATATGCGAAAGGTTTTAGGGGCGAAGCATCTTAGCCCTGGGTTGCATGCACTAGGAGTGCCGGCATAGGTAGAAGCGAGCCGATCATTGGTAGAAGAGAGCGATGATGGCGAGTGCGCTCGTGGTAGGCTGTTTCTTTCCTTGCGGTGCTCAAAAGCTATAAAATGCGCTTGCTCCGAGCTTTCTCTCGCACTCTCATGGTCATGGAGTGCACTTCATTATGAAAGAGAAAAAAAGAGAACAATAAAGAGGAAGAAAGAGAATGTACAGAGGTGAATGATCCCCCAAAGCTTTGTCCACCACTCACCATCATTCACTTTGTGTATATTCTGCAATTTTTTTTCTCCACATTTGTTCACTGGTTTGGCAAAACCACGCATTCAGCTAGCATCCTAAAAAGCGGTCTCCTGAAAGAGCCCAACTTCCACTGGATTGATGCCTAGCTAGTGTTGCCTTAGCAACACTTGGCGCATGTCCCACTGTGCCACTGCAACCACCTGCAGCTGCTGTGCAAAACAGAAGGGATCCCCTCAACAGAAGCTTTCGCTTCTTGAAGAACTAAAATTCTTTATTTTTTGTACTAGGATTGGCCCGCATCGGCCAAAGGCGTTAAAGCAGGGAAGGCCGACAGGAATAGTCGTAGGGATAGTCGTAGGGATAGTCGTAGGGATAGTCGTAGGGATAGTCGTAGGGATAGTCGTAGGGATAGTCGTAGGGATAGTCGGCACACATTGTGTAAGCAAAATGTGTGGGAGCCAAGGTAGCGTCTTCGAAAAGATAAGGGACCCTGCTTGTGTAAATATGTCCTCATTCTTGAGGTTCGAGTTTTTGCCTTCAGCTTTTCAACTTCAGCCCGAGGGTATGACGTTCATTACTTTGCTGGCCTCGAGGGACGTCACTTTTACAAATTTACCTCTGCAAACATTGCAGTGCAAATAATGTTTTTTTATTTTCAGCTGTTGTCCTAATGCATGCACATTTTGGCACTTTCTCCAGGTTCCACTGGTGCCATTGATTCCATTGTTCAACATGTTTGTCAACCTTTACCTTATGATGCGCCTTCCACCAGCCACCTGGGCTAGGTTTGCTGTCTGGATGGTTGTGGGTAAGTGATATGAATCTAGCACTGCGGTTGATGTACAAAAATATATTTTGAGCCCTTGTAAGTTCATTCGATTGCCATTTCAAGCTTAGTGGCGGTCCTCAGTGAACGCCCCTTTTGTTTTGTACTCCCAGAGTCTTCAATAAAGCGGGAATGCCCCCACAATAATTATTAATTGTAAAGATACTTTTCTTGCATTACTTTAGTGGGCATCTGACAGGTAGTCGAAATCGCCCAATGTCATTGTAGTGTCCTTTGTTGTGCAAATGTCTGTCTGTGTCTGAGCGAGAGTGGAAATTGAGAAAAGCATGGTTCTACATTCGAAAAGCAGTTTCATTCATCGGGGCATGCTTCCGTCACATACGGTACAACTTCTAACTTGTGTGTGCCCTTCAGTGCTCTAAATGCAACGATTCATTTCTGCAGTTAGTGAACTGCATGTACTCGGTGAGCCTCAATACCTCAGTGTAATACACTTCAATGCAATTTGCTTGAAATAGTGGAAGTATTTAACTTTTTATAGCATTATGCCAATTGAAGACGATCTGTTTCCAACTTCAGTGTGATGAAAGTGTGGTTATCTGGGCTTCTAACATTAGTTTCACCAGTGCTATGTGGCTATGGCAGAAAATTAGGCTTGTGGAGTTAGACAATGTTAGGCTTGAAGCAAATTCAAAGTGAATCATGATTGTGGTCAAAATTGATATAATTCAAATATTGTACATCACATGTCATAAAGGAAACATGAGCATATTTGTCATGACCTATCCTGCACAATATTTTCGAAAAAATTGAAGCAAAGCTCGTGCAAATTTCATTTTTTCTTGGTTCAAAAGAAGTGGAAGTACTTTTGAATTGTTGCAGGATTTGACATCCGGTAGAATGCAAGTGATAACTTGTGAAATATGTTATGCTTTAAGATTTACTGAAAGCACCTAAGCTGGTATAAGAAGCTTTGAAAACAGGGTTCGTACATGTCCTTGAAATCCTTGAAATTAAAAATGCAATTTCATGGCCCTTGAAAGTCCTGGAATTTTTCACCATATTTGAAAGTCCTTGAATTACCTGAGCAGTGCACTGTCATGTCGACATTGCGACCTCCTTAATGTGGCACATCAGTGTGTGAACCCGTCAAACTCCCCATTTCTGAAGCAGTAATGTGGCGTGGGTGCACATGATCCCATTTTGCAAAAGTGCATGTGAAAAAAAAAGTTAGTTTGTGGCGAGGGTGAAGCAGTGAATGTGATGGCAAGAAATTGCAATGTCACGCGAAGAAGGCCAAGCAACCCAATACATGCAACGCATCGCTCAAGCACGAAGGACGCACGAAAAGAAAGCGCACAGGACGAGTGCCGATGAACAACTGTCATAGCTCGACACTGGAAGCGTGCTGCTAAAACAAACCAAGAACGGTGCTAGAAAAAAACACACATGTATCCACTGGATGAGTGTAAATGAACCTCTGCCACAGTTGTTACTTCTTGGTTGTTTAGCAACGTGCTGCGAGTGTCAACTGTGCACAAGGCGGCACTTTTTATGGGGTGATGTCATTAAATTTCAAGGCTTTAGCAAGCATCTTGTGGGTTTAAGAATATAGTTTAAGTCACTTCCCAAGTGTACCTAACTGCTCATTCTCCTAATCGAGGCCTATCGCAAGTACGTGCAACACTGACGTAACTCTATAGGAAAAGGCAACAAAAGTTCTAGTGACGTCACACCAGATCTGTAGTCAGCTGAGTGACTTAGACTTCTACCCTGTATATACTGGCAAAGCATCGTGGCTGCTGCAGGTAGCGGCGAGTTTGTTTTGCAGGTGCTTGTGTTGCACATGTGTGCGAGAGCTGACAATACTCAGCATGACGCTTGAAAAGCTTTGTGATCACGTGACTAAATCATCTACACTGCTATTGTACCTGCACAACTCAGTCCCCACAAACAGAAACTTAAAACTGTGCATATCAAAAAGGCGACAAATCATATAGAGAAAATAAATGAATCTTGGTGCGTGTATCGTACTTATTGGACCTATAATTAAAGCTTGCAGCAAAGAACACGCAAGCCACAAATATTGCGGCATGACCCCTTCAAGGCCTGACTACACATGCGCGTGGAAGCTAATCAGCGCGTAACTTTCTGACATGACATCGTGCCCTCCCTCTGGAGAGGGTGCGAGAAGTTATTAACACTACGCTTTTTTCAAGGACGATAGTCTTTCTTGGGGACTTTCGACGCAAAAATTTTGGTCTGTCTGTCCGTCCGTCTGTACATTTGTCTGTTTGTCCACCCTTAACAACACCAAAGTAACCAAATAATACTCCAAACGGTCGAGCCCATCCGTAGCGCCAACCAATATTGCTCAAGGTTTAGCGTTCATACTTGTGCGATTGTCAATTAAAAAGCAATTATTGCACATATCTGAGGCACCATAACAATACTACAATTATATGTATGTGTATTTTTTACTAGAAAAGGCATACATGAGTAATTCTAAAGATTGTAGCCTTTATAATGATGCGCTGGTCATGCAACGCTTGCATGAAACGGCAAGTGTTTCGAATGCTTTGCTAAGACGATACGGTGGTGGCACCTACCCGTTGCCTTGCATTCTACACATTATCACCTCGGAGACGGGCACGCACGGTGCACGCCCTATTTTCCAGGATAACTGCCAGATAGCCCTCATGTCTCACTTGTGACGTGATTTGATGCGCTCGTTCGCCTCCGCTTCACGCTCGAGGCACTCTAATGCCGTTCACCGGAGGCACTCGAGCGCCTCCAGAATACCGTTCACCGATTTTCTTTCACAGAACATAAAGTAAACATTTTGTTCACTCTCTGCAGACGCAAGACTATCGTCTTTTGATGACATTTACGGTGTAAAATGCATATACGGGGCCAATTTTTTTTATAATTGTGATATTTATATACCATAAGTGCAATGAAAGTGGTTATTTTTGAAAATTTTAGAGTGAAGAATTCCAACTTAGCATGCCACTTTGAGTCCTTGAAAAACTTGCAATAAGTCCTGAAAAGTCCTTGAATATTCTTGAATTTTTTCTTTGGAAACCTGTACGAACCCTGTGAAAGTATAAAATGATAAATTCATGTGAGGGTCATCTGTTCATTTTACCTAGAAGTGCGACTTCGTGGCATAGCAGATTTCCAACGAATAGATGCTTTCAGGGCTTAGCATTTCTTCACTGTAGTGAAACCACCTTTACGAGGGCTACACATAGAGTAACATACATCAATTCGTTAATTTATAATACTCTCATATTTTCAATTATAATTTGTTGCTCTTGCATTTATTGCAATGCCTTTGTGGCAAAGCTGACTTTTTTGTGTGTTGTATTTAGCATTTCACATCATTGTATTGTATTCTGGCATTCTTTTTGTGGCATCCTTCATGTTAAAAAGAAGCTACTGGGTTGTGTGTATTTTGTTAAATATCAGATATAATTGAGGAACATCAATTTAATGAACTAAATTGTGAATTTCTACGGCCTAATTGTGGTAACGTTTAACTGTACTATAAGATTCTCCATAAGTATTGAACTTGTACTGCAGAAGGACTTGTTCTTGAACTAGTTCGCGCACTTGCTAATAATCATGGTGTAGCGTACTGGCCTGTGCCAATGACAGAATGAAGGAGCGTGTAAATAATCTGAACAAGGACATGAATGCACATTTATTTGCACATTGTAAAGCCTACACATGTGCTTCAATGTTTCGTGATTGCAGGATTCTGGGTATGCGCAAAGATAGAATGCCATGTGAGCTTTTAAAAGCTTTTTTTTTTTATTAAGTAAAAGGGTAGTGATTGTGAAAGTGTCTGTTGTCTTGTTTGCCACAGAACTTGTTTTTTTATACTCTTCATGTGTCCTCTTACTTGCACGTCCGCACGTTTAGAACAATCATAAGCGTGCGCAGAGTTTCTTTTTAGAGGGCTCCTTGTGAAGGCTTCTTGCAGTGCCTCCCTCTTCCTATCAAGTTAATGTGTGGGACTTGCTTCGCACCCCCCCCCCCCTGTGTCCCACCCCCTCTTGCACATGCCTATGGGAGCAATATATTCTCTATTTCATCAATATTCTATCAAATTTGTAAATACATAGCACCTGTGATCTGTTTCTACGAGTCTTTTGTGTTGTTTTACTTCACCATGATTATTAGTGCACTAAAATCTCATTAGTACGTACCGGCTTTAAGCTTATTAACGGTTAAAATGTAGTAGTGACGAATCACCGAAAGTCTTATCGAGACTAATGCATTCACAGACCGCTTAAGCTGTACTGTTCATCTTATTCCTACCGGGTAGTGCGTACTAACTGCGTACTGTGGTAACATTTCGTGCCTGAACGTTTTACTGTGCCGCTAAATTTGCTGACGCAGCAATGTGCCGCGAACAGTTTTCAGTTATGTCAAGTGCTGAGATCAGCGAATTGTGCTGACTTCTGCAAGACTTCGGCAACAGCTTCGCGGGCGATCGCATGGAAAAAAAACAAAGGCGAGGTGGTGACCACCGACAAACGGGCCGGTATGACTTATGGCAGACTAAAAGCCTTGTCACAGTAAAAAGCATACCTGGCTATCTGCTCAAGCACGCATGTAGCGAAGCACCACTTTCAGCCTACTGCACGCTTTTAGTGGGCAACTACTCGAACACGCTGGGCAGCCACTCGCTGCCGCTTCATTGAGCTAGACAGTGTTCGAGGGCACACCGCTTTACAGAAACAGAAGCAGCTCACTGTCGTGGAGCTAAGCGTTGAGGGGAGGGGGGTGTCGCGGGCTCCGAGAAACCTTGCTGTATACTATGCAGGCACGTGTACAGTACAGCAATCGTAGTGCTGTTGTAACCATACTGCACGCTTTTATTCAGCGACAGCCCAAATGTGCCTCCATTGGCTGCGAGAACTGCTAGAACATCGGCTGCTCGCCACATCTATGCATGGTATGAAGCGGAGTGGGCGTACTGTACAGCAAGTAGGTTGGGATTCACGGATGTGCGCCGAGTAGGCAAAGCGCTGCATGAAACTAGCCATGCAGTTGACAATTTGATACTCTGCGATCGCTCTAGGTTTTAAAAAACCGTCAGTTTTAACTTAAAAGCAGACCACTGAACAGCTGATCATGTCGACATCAGTTGTGTTGCTGTCCCATGCTGTGTACCTTGCACCTTACAGTAGTTCCAAAATCCTCATTGGCGTCGCCACCCTGTGATATCAGACAGTTGTGCGAGAGTGACAATTTTTTCTGCACTTTGCCAAAAAGAAAAATGTGCCTTTGCGATGAGCACTTCAGGCAATATTTCCTGTGGCACTGAATTTATTCCTTTGTTGGTGGTGATGGTGCACATCAGGAGATGCAAATTTGTAGCTGGTGGTTAATATGTAGTCCGTTCAGTGCATACTTGTGTCCCCGTTCCCGGCAGGTATGTAATAGCAGGGTTGCACTAGTGCGTAGCATTCAGGCTAGGAAACACAAGCAAGCTGGAGGGCAATTATCGTGTCCCAGAAAGACACTGCAGCATGTTAAATAACCCCAGGTGGTTGAAATTTCCAGAGCTTCTCACTCCTGAGGGTGCAGTTATGTGTTTAGCTTAATGTGGCAAAAAGAAAAAAATATGTGATTCTAGCTCTACATGTCTATGGCAGGGATGGTGATCTACTTTGGATACGGCATCTGGAACAGCTCGCTGAGGAAAGGGTCACCCCCGATCCTGGACGATGGGGCTGGCTCAAACGAGTCCTCGAGCTCCGAACACAGCGACGACGGTGAGAGGCAGCCACTCGTGTCTTGCTGACAGAGCATCCCAGCGTCAGCGGACCTCTCCCAGGGCGCTGTTGTTGCCACGGAGGAGGTTGAGCTGCACGCTGAGCAAAAGTGCATGCTGCTGGGCGGTTTGGAGAGCCAGCCCGGCATTGTTCATGCCACGTTGCTGCTGTTGTGTGTTGTTGGGGCCTTCTGTGTGCTGTGATGTTGAGTACCTAATGGAAATGTGTCTATTGCACATGTGTGTTGCTAACACGCTGCTTCACTAACCTGCCTTCTGCCTTGAAAGCCAGTGTCCAGTGACTTGTGGTAGTGTACAACTAGCAGAGGGCAACTAGAGCAAAACAAATGAGAAAAAAATATGCAGCTCTCAATCTAATTCAAAAGTGGGATAGATTGAGCTAGTTAGAGGCTGTTCCCATGTTCTTCTTGCAGTGTACTGTATGCCAAAGCCAGGGAGGACTGAGAGGGGACAGTGAATGACCTGCATTTGAGATTGTGCACCACCTACTGTCATCTCTTTGCACTTTCTGTAATAGTTTATGTAATACAGTGCAAGGAGGAACCTTGTTTTGTCCTGTAGCAGGTGCAAAAACAGTGTTGCAGCACTATGATGTGTGTGTGCATCCTGTACTATGTTGTTCTTGTACCTTAGCTGATATACTTGTTCACGTCTAAACCTGGCATAGTCAGTGTAGGAACATCTCGAGGCAAGCACCGGGCATCGAGGTTAGATCTACTCGACTTCCTTATTTGTAGCTGTACCTTGCTCTGCACCTTTTCTTTGAAAACTGTCATTTCTGGGCTCATCGCTGTCCATGAATCTCTCCAACTAGACGTGCTTGAATAGTAGACGTTGATTTGTTAGCAGTGATGGTATAATCGTTTGGCATGGTGACGTGTAGCTATGCTCCCTCTACTTTGCATCCGAGCACTAACGTGGTCACGGGCGACACATTTAAGTGTTTTTGTTTCTCCTGGTCTCGCTGCATCACAGGTCTCTTAGTGGAAATCTTCAAGTCCCTTCCTCTTATGCTATTGACAAAGTTACTGCAGGAAGTGTCTTGTACACTTAGCGCCTGAAACTGCATCTTCTCTGACACATGCACACAGGGTGCAGATGTATCGAGCTTTTATTGCACATATGCGCATTGGCGACAACCAGGTAGCTAGGACGAGCTTTAAAAAATTAGCCATGGGCATGCATAGGGGCCTGGGTTTAACAATCAGCATCGACATCAAAGCAATGCCTTCTTTTACTTCATTGTTTAGGGAACCAGCAACTTGTGTTAATTTCTTTTTTGGCCCTTTGGTTTCCACTCGGTTTTCGTGAATCTGTATTGTCTTAGTGTTTCATACTCATTTTAAACCATCAGTGCACAGAAACTTTGGTGCTAAGAGGTATTAAGGAAGCCACAGCTGGTTGGTCAGATGAAACTTTCACCGGCTCATTTGACACTACAGACTTTTTCTGGATCAAGACAGCGAATTTGGTTGTCGAATTGGGCTCGTGGCATAGAATACAGCAGTGGAAACACAAGGACCAAAGACTGATGACATGAGTCTTCATAAGTTTCTTTTTGTCCTTCTGATGGTGCTCCAACATAGTACTCTATTCATTCCCTTTTTATTATCGTGGCTTTCATTCATGCCCCTCTCTAGTTTCTTTTGCTCTAAAGTGCACTGAGTGAGCTTGTTCTACTATACATTCCTGTACTAATGTCCTATCTTCACTATAGCATGGTTTTATCGGGCTATGGTGGACTAGCTAAGCTTAAAGGACAGCAGCTGCAGCTGTTACGGTGCTCAGCTGCAAAGTTGAAATGCATTTGTATGATGCTGGTCATGGCTGTTGCATGCTTATGGAGCCAAAGTGGTCAGTGATGGACGAGATTATTTAACAATCTTGGAGCCGATGTAGAACAAAGCTGGTCCTAAGACCAATCATTTTATGGATGCAGCTCTTTCTACTATGTACTCCTTTGACTAGACGATAGGGCTTTCAGTAGTTTCTTTCTTGCTTTGCGAGGTGTTACAAAGGGGCCGGATCAATGAAGTGGGACTGGCGCTCATTGATGTAGGAGCGGCACAGAAGATGCGTATTTAGTGAAAGATGGTGCACATTGTGTACGCTAGTCTTTCTTCCATTCTATATGTCTCTACATTATCTAGAGTTCAGAGGGAATGAAAGAAAAGGAACACGAAAAAAATTCAGAATGCTTTGTCAGCCAGTAGACCAGTCAGTCATATTGGTCAACGACTCTTTCATACTGTTCAGTTCTTCAGTGGTCCGGAGCGAAAAATGGCATGAAGTAGTCCACAATTTTAAGGAAAACATTTGACCGGTAGATCTACTCGGTAGATTGAATAAAAGAGCTAATGTGCAAGTTCATCCACAATAAGGTGACTAATTTATGGTTTATAGTTCCTGTGAATTTTTAAGCTAGAGATCTTGCTCATTCTACATGTTGCCAAAGATTGACATGTTCTTCCAAGCATGGCACATTTTTGTCTCCTTTCGGGGAATAGCGACATTTCATAATTCATTTCGTGCCGCACAGCTTCGGTTCAGCACTCGCCCATATTATTTGATATAGTATCTACTCTTGTTTTTATTGTCTATTTCGAAAGCCTCCTTGAAACTTTTGCTTGATGATTGCAAGCACATTTCAGAATGAGCATGCTTTTATTCATTCAGGCTGAGCATGGAGGCATATGCAACAGGCACAATCCAGCTGTGATTAAACTTCGAAATTCGGCAGGATCATACAGGTTTACATTTTGCTCATTTCTTGCCCCCATAGACAAATGGTTAATGGGCACCTAAACATTGTGACATTGTTACTGGAGGATGGTGTGTGTAGATCTCTTGCACCTTCTTCACTCGAGAAACGCCGGAGTCAGTTGACACAGGCATCTTTTTAGACTTCCCAACTTGTGTTATGTTGTACAGAGTGCACCGACATTCCATCTGCATCTTGACTTCATTATCTTTGCCTCTTCTAAAGTTGGGTGCTCTTCACCTTTTCATGCGCTGTTCTGTCTTTTGCTTGTCTTGCTTGGTGTCATTAGTGGGTGATGTTGTGATGTGTGCTTAGCTGCACAATTCATGTGTTCATTTGAGCAACCTAAACCAACATCCTCAATAACTCTCTGGTGCCTGGCATGTCGCTGTTCATGACAAGACACCCAGCACAAAAATTTGGCCCTGCGAGTGCTCAGTCTCTATATTGTAGCTTTCAGTGATTCAGGAAAGGTGCAAAAGTTGTTAACCTGTGTTTTGCATTTGAAAAACTGGTACCTGTAGCCTGGCTGTTGTGGAATCATGAGTTTGGCCTACCAGGGCCCCTTTTTGACATTGCTCAACTTGGGAAGTAACATGAGGGGGGTGCCTTCATGTACAACTCTGCCTGTTTATTCCTTACCAATACAGTAGAAGCTGCTTTCCATACAAATTCACAAGTGTTTTAATGGGAACATTATTCTTTATTTACTCAATGTAATTGGTAATTCATTAGGCCTGGCAATCTATCATAACTGATAATTTCTAATATGGAGTTTGAACTGCACAGCTTATCAGCCACTAGGAGCAACGTGTCCTCTTTTCCCGTTAAAGTTTGTATGTCCACATTAAACATGAGATATATGGCCTAAAAAAAGAGCATAATGAGATTTGAGAATTTGTCTACCAAGACTATCTAGCTTGGTACTTAGGCTGCCAGTCATGTGTGGCCAGTACAGCTGGCACTATTATGACAAGTGCAATCAATGCACAAGTGAAACCTCACTAGATGCAGCGCACATTAGTTTGAGTTTGCAGATTATCAAGGCACAGTTTTAATGATCGTTGCTTTACTGCATAATATAATACAACTCCTAAAACTATGTTGGTATAGTTTGCAATGACATCTAGTGTTGAAATGTAGTGAAATTTTTGCTTACTGTCACATTGAAAACACAGGTGTAGGCATTGAGAAAGGTAGCTGCAGAGGGTATGATGGGTAAGTAGCTACGGAGGTGCAAGCATAGAAAATATATTTCCATATGCAGCAGTAAATTCAGTACTTAACTTTACAACATTGTAGACTCTTAGTTCGACAGAGCGATTATTTCACTTTAAAGAGGAAATTTGGCCATCAGACTTACCTTAGAAGCCATAATCATGAGGAATTTTCCAAGTTTTATTTGCCTGCTGCTGTCGAATTATTCGTGTAAAGCACTTGTAGCACAAAACCATGTAACACTCTCCTCATAAAAAGTGCATAGTTTTTAAATTTTAACGCATTAAAGGGGCCTGAAATGCTTTTTCAAGTAACCATAGAATGAATTTACTGGAAGAGCTTATTTCATCACGAATTCAACGGCGCAAAAATTTTAAGAATTCGTCCAGTGGGAGTGGAGTTGCAAAGATTTGGCGCATGCTGCGATTGCATTCTTTCTTCTCTAGTTCCAAGGAAAGCGCTGGAAGCTAAGCAGGCAGGGATAGCAGGGCCACAGAAAAACAGCACGCGCACTTCGCAAACTTGAGCACTTTTTTCTTTTTTTCTTTGAATGCGCGGCCTTTTCACGTTGATTGCATGTGCACGCGTGGACAAGTAGCGGCCTCCCGCGACGATCTCTGTAACAAGCGAGCGCTCATGATCAAATCAGCCAATGCCTGATAGATAGGCGTTCTACGAGTGATATTTGTCTTCTGTTATTTGTCAAGAGAAGAAAAACCATTTTTTAGTGACTTTGATAATTTGTTGTGAATTTCATGCCACGCGCTGCATTATAATATTTGGCTCACTTGTTGTCGGCAGCCTCTACTACCGATCGGCAGCGTTTTCTGACCATGCTAAAAAGTGTTGCAGGGCCCCTTGAAAAAAAAATAGTGCTAGTATTTTAGATGAAATCACCAAATGAGTCTCCAGAGAAGTGGTGGTTTTTTCTGGGATTCTATGCTGATTTTGTGCGAAGGCACTTTTCTAGACGTATTGGTGCTCTTTCCTGCTGCTGAAAC